AGGCAAATTTCTCTTTGCTTACTGAACATAGACGAGCCCTGGGCAGTACTGTGACATACCATTTACATAGATGATTAGCTCTGGGGGAAAAAAAAAAAAAGAAAAAAGAAACTTGTGTCAATTTATTTTGAAGTGGAGCAGAGGAATAGGTGATCATTTCTTGCCATCCTAAATCGAGACATCCTGTGTTGCTTATCTGTTTTATCTTTTCTTGTGGCTAATTTGCGTATGGATTATGCAGATTTTGGGAGGACTTTGAATATTAATTTTGAATAAAAAGTTCTGCTCAGCTTGAGTAATGAGTTCTCTTTGATCTTCTGCAAGGGAACTTTAATGGACCAAGACCTTGCCTTTTGACTTCTTTTTGTGATCTACCTGATTTCCCCTGAGAGTCCCAGGCCAAATGGACAGGCTACAGAGCCAAACAGGGCACAAGGATACAAGGATCTAGAAACTCATAAAGAACTGGTGGAACAGAGTAAAAAAAAAAAAAAAAAAGTCAGTTCAGATAAAAATAATATGATACATTATTATTATTTATTATTATAAAATAAAATGATAGCTAATGTCTGAGCTGCTTGTATCAGTCTGTTTTTTTTTGCAAAATTGTAACACTGTTAGCTATGTGAAGAGCAAAATCATTCTTCATGCAGGTTTTGTTCATGTGTTTAAGTTTTTACAAATGCAGGTTTTGTTCATGTGTTTAATTTTTTACAAATGTAAAAAATGAATTATATACTCACACCAAAACTGGAGGAAAAAAATGAAGAAAAAATTAGATTTAGGGAAAATAACATTATTTGATTAATACATGATCTTTGGACCAAGTATCATGAAAACACACCAAGTGAAAATATGAAATAGAAAGTCAAGAACTGGAGAACTGGAGAACTGTTTGTCTCCGGAAAGAGTTAAATATTTGATTTTATAGAAGAGAAATGGATGTCAAATCATTGAAAGGAAGAAAAAGGGGACTGAAATGCTGTTAAACCTTAGATGAAGCCAGTAAACAAGAAGGGAGGAAAGATCTAAAGAACTGAGTTGGGAAGAGTGATACTTAGAAATGGAAATATAAAAGTGGCTGGTGGCTGGTGGTATATAAGGTTTAGAGATGAAACAGCAGTGAAAGGGTTCAGATGAAGATATTAAATGTCAAACTGAGACTCTGAGGAGTACGGATCAGAAGGGACCACTAATAGAAGGAAAAGATGGAGACACTTGAAAGCAGAGAAATATGTGTTTTATTACCAATTCTCTCAGACATCCAAGGTCTGCTGCAAAAATCACAGCTCACTTGGCCTCTATTTCTTCATCTGTAAAATGAAGCTACAATTCATCTGGATTAGTTTAGAATTATAGAATCATGAAATCCTTAGATTTGGAAGGGACCTCTGAAGGCCATCTAGTCCAGTTCCCCTGCAATGAACAGGAACATCCACAGCAAGACCAACTTGTCTATTTCTAGATCTATTTCTAAAGCTTTTAGGAGAGCTGGATGAAAATACTAGTAAATCAGGGGAGAAAAAAAATACGGACATGCTGAAAATTCTGCACTAAATGAAGCAAGAATTTGGGAAGGCCCCTAAATACAGCAACACAGAAATTAGGAAATGAGATCACAAGTACGTGTACGAAGAGAGTGACAGCAGCTGATACATGAGGTGCTTCAAAAATATCGCCTGCAAGAGGCAGTATCAGGAAGGTGCTCAGATTTGACTCATTTCCCTCAGTGTTCGTCAGGAACAAAGCTAAGAATGTAAGCAGGAGATGGGATGTTGTGAAAGCAGTGGTAGACATGGCTTGCAAGGGAAATGCTGAGAAATATAGCACAGCATTTTAAAAATTGTTGGAAATTGTCTTCTCACTGAAACAGTCTGAGAAGTCAGGATGGCATTCGTTCACTTGACTGACTGCTGAAATTTGAAATTCACGCTCCTCTGCAGCTCTCAGTGAGCAGAGGTGACACTGTTGTAAAAAAGCTATCAGGGCACTGCTTGTTTTACTGCCCTGCCCTTGCACCAAAGTGGCTTTAGCTAAAGGCCACAGTCACAGCTGTAAGAAAGAAAATGTATCTCAGGAGAGTGGGCTGGCCTAGAAAGAATGGCAATGAGCTACACATGAACTACAAGAACTATAATCTGTATGAAGCTGTAGAAGAACAGCGTACAGAACCAGGCTGACAGGCATTGGGCTATTCTTTTCTCAGCTGTGGCAATGATTTTTCCATTGTTAATGAAGGGATCAATGAAAAATAGGCTGTTGCTCCTCAGATAGCAAATTTTTCATGGACAGTTGGACTGGATGATCTTGGAGATCTTTTCCAATCTTGGTGATTTTACAATTTCTATTAGAAGAGATTTGTTTGCTCATGTACTGATGAATTTTAGTTCAGTTTTTCAAGAAAGGAAACTGCAAAAGAGGCATATTAAGACATCTAAATGCAAATACTGATTTCCTTGTTTAAATACAAAAGATTATCTCTGGCAGTAACGCCATTCAGTTCCCAATAAGAACTCTGCCATGTCCTCCTTTAGTGACTGTCTCCCAAAAATTGTAGGAATCAGTCATACATAAACGAAAAAAGAAAATCAGAAATAATGAAATATTTATTAAAAATTTCAAAAGCACACCCAATTTTCTTATTACTTATCTCAAGAGTGACTCAGTGGATGGTTTTGATTATATCAAATATAGTTCCCTTTTTTTTTTCCCTTTTTTTCTTTTAATATTTTGGCCTTGTTTGAAAGTTACTTATATTCTTATGGTTTCATATTTTCAGTTCATATTGCAAGAAGGAACTTCAGGTTTCTGCAAGCGATCTCTTTGCCAAAGCACAGCATTATTACCTAACTACAGCATGACGTAGAAAAGTGTTCAGGAAAAAGTTGTCTGAAAAGAACATCTGAAGTTTTCGAGAACCTGCTTTTTGTAGGAAACGCTCTTAGTTCTAAATGTTGTGCTGTCTAAAACAATATTCCACCTCACTCTCTAATAGATACGACCGCAGCTATATGAACCTAGTAGTATCTTGGAGGTTTATCCAGGCAATGTAGAAAAATCTCTCTCAGAACTGTGTGCTCATTCTAAAACTACCAACATCTACATAGCTTACCACTTCCTTTTTCACTGTTAGCATGTAGGACGTAAGCAGTCAGTGCTTCCCCTGTTAACAAACACCTGCTATGGCAACAAGCTTGAAAATCAACTTCACATTCTCTGTTCACGAATAAATGTGACTACAATCTGAGTATCTATCAAGGGATATTTGGTCTCCTAAATTTTTAAAACTGTGGTGTTCAGATACAAAGGGCTTTGCTAAAGAAATGATTGTAGTGACTGCATTTGAGCTTGCTGTCTTAAAATGAAATAGGAGGGCAGGAGAAAGTCACAGGCTTTGTAAAGATTTGTAATCCTGATGAGTTGTACATTGTTTAAAGCAAGCTCCACAATTTACTTTCAAAGTTCAGACCGAATTACTAAATTCTTCCTGTTGTTTTCCTCTGTGAGTGTTGCAGCACTCTGATTGCTTTCCTCCATCATCAGCTAATGATGGTATCTTCTACCTCTTGACTTGCTAATCCTCACTGAGCTAAGGCTGCAGCTCTTGTAAACTGAACCCACTTATTGAGATCAAGTCAGGCTCTCTCATACAGATCAACACTTCACACTGAGCGCTCTCAGAAGGAAACAGAGAGCCTCCTTATCTGCACTATCAGAGGTCTGCACAGAGTTGAATAGTAAAGGACATTCAAAACTACTAAAGGGAAACGTTTCATAGGACCACAGAATGGCTCAAGTTGGAAGGGACATCAAAGCCCACCCAGTCTCATGCACCTGCCGTGGGCAGGGCTGTCCCTCACCAGCTCAGGCTGCCCAGGGCCCCATCCAGACTGGCCTTGAGTGCCTCCAGGGATGGGGCATTCCTAAACTTTTCCCTAAATTTGTTTTTAGCAGGAGAAAGATACAGATTGAGATTTTTGGCTACAGTGTGATGACATTGCTTGAAGCACATACATGAAGAGATGTAAGCGTACTGTGATTTATTCAACTTCAAACTTTATTAATGCCAACAGCACTTGTGTTAATGGTACCTTCAAAAGTCAACTGTGTTGGCGCACTGAACCCCACAGAAAGGCCTCCAAGTTATGTAGGGCTGCACAAGTATGAATACTAGCTTAGGTGTTTGGTTTTGTTCTCAAGTATAGTAAATACAGTGACAGTTTAATACATCTTGAATGCAGATACTGCAGAAGCTGACTTTTTTCCCTGTTATTGACTGCAGTAATACATGGAGCTGTATAGAAGGGCCTGTATCAAATCTAAGTATCAGAAAGGCTGAGAGGGAGAAGAACGGCTTTCCTCGCTGACCCCTTCAAAGCACGAGAGCTGTATTTGTGTTTTGATGCTTTGATAAATGCTTGTGCCACCGGTGTGTGTCCACACGTGAGCAGCTTCAAGAAAGAAAAGCTGCTAAATTTCTGCTGTTCGTCACTCAAAAATAAATCAGGCTAGAATTCTTGAACACAGACAAGAAAATTTTGTTCAAAAAAGCCCTTAGTTCTCAGAACTCGGGCATTTGTTTTTTGTGTTACTCAATGTCTTTAAGTATCAAAGGCCTCACACTCACTAATTGCTGTTACACTGTATGTGACACCAAGACATGGGTGAAATTAGCGAGGCAAGGAAGCGCTAATCTCTAAGAAAGAATTCTCCGTAGCACCAGCTTGCTCTTAGGGCACCCAACAACTCAAGGAATTGCTTCTGCCCCTGTTGTACCTTCTACAGTTACCACGTTAAAGATTCAACTAATTTCTTCTTCCACCCAAGCTTATGGCTTTTGGTCGAAAACTTCAGCTCACGGTGCTTTTTCATCATTTTAAATCATTCCCTCCCGCCGTTGCTCTGGCGACAGCGTGGCTGGCGAGCGACCATAGACACGCCCGCCGCGGCCTAGAGAGGCGCTGCTCGCGGCCTGTCCCCCGCCGGGCCGCCGTATTTCCGGCCAGGCACTTCCGGTTGCTGCTGGTCCCGGAGGAGGAGGGATACAGCCGCAGCGGGGGCTGCGCCGCCCGGCCCAGCGCGGCCTCCTCCGCCCCGTGACGCCCCCGGGGTGGCAGCGGCGCCGCCGGAAGGTGAGGGCCGGGCCGGGCCGGGCCGGGCCGGGCCGGGCCGGAGCTGGCGTTGGGTCCCGGTTTGGGGCAGGGCAGGGTCGGGCCGCGCCCGCCGGCCTACGCATCGTACTGCAGTCCCTGCGGGAGGGCGGCCGGGCCCGAGGCCTCTTCCTGGTCACTCCGAAGGGCCCGGGTGTGTGGTGCGGGCCCGGAGCTGGCGGCGGGCGGGCAGGGTGCCTGCCTCCCTCCACAGTGCTGGCCGGGCACCGTGCGGGGCCGTGCCCAGGAGGAGGTGGAGTTCAGGAGGGAGCTGGGAGCCCGTTCTCTGGTAGAGGGAAAGACTGCTGGGTGCTGCATCCATGTCGTGCCCCTCGGACATGTTCTGCGCCCAGGCAGTTGGGGCTATAAGTGTGCCCGTGTGTCCTCTGCAGCTGGCTGCCTGTTCTCAAGTCGCTGGCCAAACGTGGAAAGAGCGTGGTGTTATCTGGGTATTGAACCGGGGGTTGTGTAGTTCTGGTGTTGCTTGGGTTATGTCTCTCTGAGGTTCTGTTTTTACCTCAGACCAGCTCACAGCCTTTCTTCTTGCCTTCTCTGACCTCGGTGCAGTGTCAGTGTCTGACGTGTTCTTTCTGTGCTTGGTTGTACTGCTGACAAGAATCTGTCATCAGCTTTATCTTTGTATAAAGAGATAACATAAATGTTCTTCTGCTATTCTGGGAACTGTGATGTTTGGTCAGAGCAACTTCAAACTGAGCAGTTGTCTCTTTATATGTGTGTGCATACACAGCTAGAATGTGAGGCGTTGATTAATACAGAGGAATATTAGATGGGAAGAATGGGATGTTAAGACGTTATGTTCATCAGAGGATTCTGTCTGTTTTGGTAGAAGTTCAGACCATTATAGGAACCCATGCCTTAGCCGATCTGGAGTGGAGCATGGTCTGACCTAGAGCAGGAGTGTGTAAGCCACTTGCAGTGCTCTGCCTGCATCTCCACAGTGTTCTGTAACTCTCAGATATCAACTAGCTCTTGTAGGAGGAGTGGAAGTGGAACTGAGTGTAAAGTGTGTAAAGAGGAAACTATATTACGGTTGCAGCAGAAAGTGTTTACTGCGTTCTTAATTCTTCAAAAGAAACAAAACTAAGAATTAGTGGTGATATTCTTAGTTATAAATCAAAACTAAGGGAATATGCTTGAATTCCTTATTTTCTATCTGTCCTTGCATTTTCTGTAGTGTTACAGAAACTTTTATTTCACCACATGCAGAACCACTAATAAGACAGTAAGTGCAATAAGCTTTATTGGGACAGAAGACATCTTGCTTTCATCTTACTGGCAATTCATTTATTAATAAATAAATGTAAGTGAAGAAGCCAGTGCATCCAGCTTAGGAAAGCAAATGTAACTGTTGAGAATCCTGTGGTGCTCATTTCTGAGACCGTGGGAGTTACTAATTAAGTAATGCAAACTGCATTAAGAATAATGTCCTTTTTCAAATTTGGTTTATTGCTGATAACGTGCTTTGTTCATACTTGCACTTAATCCATAAGTGTGCCCATATTACTGCTAATTATAATTGGCTACATGTTCTGGAGGATGCTTAGGGTATTGTTTTTAAGCTCTCACCGTGTTAACTTTTCCCAGCTGAAGAAATGATATGTTAAAATGTCTGGTTTTGTGTCATTCTGGGGTGCTCAGTGTGGTTGCTGGAATTCCAAAGCGTGTGTTTAGTGTACGTGTTGTGCCTGTGTCTTGGGCTTGCTACTGCCACCCAGTCTTCTCTTTCAAAGGCAAACAATGCCCATCTTTCAGTGCTCTCTGTAGTTATGGGGACAACTTCCGTCAGCAGGAGAGAGGTGATGTAAATTTCTGTTTGCTTTGGGCAGGCTCGCTGACTTACTTGGAACTAGGTTTTTTGCTTCTTGTAAAACAAGTTTTTTCATTTCATGTAATTTTTGAAGTAAGTGTTTAAAATTTAAACCTGAGTTTCATTTGTGCAGTCTTGGGCTCTGGTGGGTGGTGCGAGTATTATGGCTTTGAGCTATCTTTTTCCCCACAGCTCTGCATTCTGTGAGCGTTTGCAAGCTGTTCTCACTGTTTGCCTCCTGTTATTACAGGGTGGAAGGGTGGAGGTGAGCGGCTCAGTGGTGTTTGCAGCAACACTTGGCTGTGAATGAAACCTTACACAAAAAAGTGATAAACTGACAGAATCATGCAATGCTCTGATGGAGTCAGAAGGGTTCTGTGCATACTCAAATGTTCCGGTTGTTTTGGTAACAAGTTGGTCATATATGGACAAAAAAAAGAAAAAAAGATTTGAATATGTATTAACTGTAGGTCAGAGAAAAGGAAAAGTGACCAGATTGGTGCTTTCTATCTTCTATCTGCTGAGGGCAGATCTGGCACGTTTCATGGCTCAATTATCTGAACTCTTCTTTCTGTCTTAGCTGTGAAATAGCAGATGCTTTTTAAGCTACTATGAGTACCATGGTAAAAGATGACTTGCTATGTTGGGAGCGTTCTGACTGCTTTCAGGAAAGCAATGCTACATAAACTGGGGGGAGAAGGAGTGTAGCACAACAAATAAAATTTAAAAAGTTTAAACATCTTTTTGTTTTTATGCAGTATCTCTGCATGGATTTGTGAGGTTTGTGCCCCTAGGTTACATTGAGAGTTCTTTTAATTATCAAGACTTTTCTTGCTGCATATCGCGTTTAATAATCTTAATTAGCCAGCTCTGCTGTATGGCTTTTCATACTAGCAATTTTTTTTTTTCCTCATTGATTTGAAAGGAAACTTGTATTAGTAGGTAGGAGGGAAATCCAGCCTCATTCAGTGGTAGCCCTGAGTGAATTGCAGCCTTTCTAGAGGAGTTCTCTTATTTAACCTTGTTTTCACAAAGCCAACTGGGAGGTTATCCAGTGTAATAGGAGCTAGGTGGTTCAGTTTCTCAGCCTCTCTGTCCTTATTTTAGTTCCCCTGTCACACAGGAGGATGCTTACCTTGCAAACTGTTTATTATAATTAGTATGTTTTATACCTTGGAAAACTGAAATAGGATATGAATAGTGATCATTCTCAGATTTTTTTTATCTGGTGCATGACTAAATCTGTACAGAGTGGTGCAAAGCTCACTAAACTTCAGTCATATGTGATTACAGTGAGTACTGACAGTCTGTTTAATTTTTAATGACAGGTTGTCTCCTCCTTGCAAAGCATTGAGGGAGTTGTGGTATCACCTGTCCTTACTGCCCATGTGAAATCAAATGTGGGTCACATACCTAAAATAAGTAAGAAACTTAGATACCTTTCATAATCATGCTACTCACTGAATTGGTTTCTGGTGTATGTGTTGAGTGTTACTGAATTTCTTTCTCTCTGTAGGTGAGGTGTTTCTTTTAAAAAATTTTTTTTGAAAAAAGATTTTTTAAAATTGAAAGATGTTTCTTCCCAATTAGTAAGCTGTTCAGTCTGTTATGCCTAGGTTCCAGTGACTTAGGAGCAACATAAACTCACATAGTATAGATATGCTTCATGTCTTAGCAAAATCTAGAAAAACTTTGTGCTTTGTAATGGCAGGATGCAATAGATGTGTTGTTGCAGATGAAAGTAAATATCAGCTGAATAACTTTGTTTACTTGCTGGGTTTTAGGTTGCAAGCTCAGTGTTCTGTGCAGGCAAAATGTGTTTGGTAGTGAGAGCTTATGCTGGCTAGACTGTAGTCATTGTCTTAGTTGAACTTCAGTGAGATAAAGACCCAGTCCACTTCTAAGAGGGAGGTTACTTTTTGCTCCAGTAGAGCTTGCAAAAGAAATTTCTTCTGCAAGTTTGCTTCAATTTCTTGAAGATTCAACGTGCAGCTCCTTTCACATCAATTAATGCATGCCAACCCTATTTTATTTTCAGGTATGTCAGAACACAGGAATGAATCCACAGCACTTGATGAAATTCATCCAGCTGGAGAAGAGATCCAGTCTGACTCTGAGGTGACTGAGCAGTAGCTGTATTAGTGTCATATCAGCCCATCCCAGCAAAATGGTTTTGGGCTCCTGGAGAGGTTGATTCAGGAAAGTTATTGTGGGGATAAGTTTGTGAGTAATCTTGAATGGGAGGGTTTGATTTGGAGACATTGGAGGAAGTCCAGTTAACTGACAAGAAGGGATTACTTCAAGCAGTAGTTTGTCACTGTGCTGCAGGGTTTGCTTCACAAGCTGAATAGATTTAGGTAGCATAGAGTCCAAAATGTGTAAGTACACCAGAAAGAAAGGATTAGTACTTCAAGGTAGCAGTTCTTGTGCAACATTGCTATAACGAGGCATTGTGTTTGCTGGTGGAGTGGTAGATCTGGACTGCTTTGGCTTTCTTTTTCTTGGGATCAACTTCAGTTTGCATCTCCATTGTGAGCAAATTGTTGAAATTCCCACTTGTCTATAGACAACTTGGGAAGCTGTTTCACAGAAATAGAGTAGATGTTTCCTTGGCTGCTGTAGAGTGACAATAGAAAATATTAGTTATTTCATTCCCTTATTCATCAATACAAATGTAGGAACTTCTCTAGATTTACTTCAGACTTTCCCTGCATACCATTAAATTTCTGAGGATGCAGCTGTATTATTTACAGCTTAAATGAGCTGTGGGCTACACTTGCTGAAGGGATGCTTTGTTCAGTAATCATACTCACTATTTTAACAGAAATATTATTTTGAGTTAATGGTTTAGTCATCTCACCGATCAGTAAGCTTACTGTGACTGAGATTGCAGGAAGCTGCGTTCATAAGGGAAATGATCTCTGGTTTTGGCAATAACCTATACATAGGGCATGTGTTTTGTAGCTGTTCACCTGGGGCTGTGGCAGAAAGCAATTCTTCAGATTCTCTGTACTTTCTTATTCTGTTATTGCCTCCTCTGTTTTGTAGCTACAAGCACTGGAACTGCGTAACTTCTGCTCTAAAATTGCATCGGTTTTGGAGAATTGATGGCAGTGGAAAAATTCCACACCCCCTTTTTGAGCATAGGTCACCTTCTTTTAACCTGTGTTGTTTCTGCAGTCTTGTTTGCTGAGCAAACCGCACGTGTACTTATCTGGGGAAGAAGTAGGGGAATAAGGAAGGCTGATGTGAGTGAAGAATTAGGGGTAATAGGCACAAAAAGGGAGTCCTCAGAACCTCCGTATAAATCAGTGAGGGAATTATTAATCACATTCCACCCCGCAACTGTAGTCAATTGGTCTTAGCTTTCATGAAGTGGTGGTGCGATCACCTCTTGCCTCTATGTTATAATTAGTCTCAGCATAAAGTACTGCTGCTGGTGATCTACTGATTTATATGTTTTGGGTGGTCAGAGCCGGACCAGTCGTTATAGCACGTGCCAGGTTTTTGTGCATACTCATGTTAGAGTTAGTAGAATCACAGTTGGGTGAAGCGTGAAATGAATCGTTTCCCTTGCTGTTGGTGACTGTTCAGGAGTTTTCCACATACTATGTTCTCTATTCTTCACTCTTTCAGGACATGGTTCATCTCTTCTGTATCACGTTGAACAGTGATCAGTGTCCATTGTTTTGAATGTGTTCAAGTGGCTGGTAGAGGTCGTCACGTTGTAGTAGTATTCTCACCAATGTGAGATTCGTTCTGATGAGGGTGGGCAGTGAACTTGATGTATAATTGTCGTAACTATATAACATAACTGGAGCTGGTAAAGTCACATCCCATAGTTTTAGTGAAGTTATAGACACTCAAATGTTTGTATCTGTAGCAATGTTGTCTACAAGTATAAAGTCATAAAAGCTTTTCATACAAACATCCCTTTTCATAAGTGTGGTTTTAGAGATTGCATCAGGATGTGCTTCAAAATTACAGGTAGTTTGTTTAGGGCCAAGACTAGCGTCTTGTGCTTTGATGGTGTTACTCTTATAAATAAATGGTATCTGTTTCTTCCAAGAGAATTTTCCAGATCTTAACCTGGGTCATTATTTGAATGCAGTGTTACACTGCTGCTTCTACTCTTCATAAAACAGCAGCATCTTGTTACTAACTTGGGCTCTGGAATTGCATTGGAGCTTTCAAGTTCTGGTTTCTGCGTTTCGCTGTAGATGTACTGCTGTTGGCCTATTTGAAATTGTATGCTATCAGTTTGGTCAGAAGGTGGCGCTAAATTATGAGAAAAGGGAAAGCAAGTTCAACAACTTTAAGGCTTGGAATCATCACATTTATTTTTCTTATAAACAAGTAAATTTATTGTTTTTTTTTTTCCTACCTAATACTACTTTGTTTATCATTAGCCAGTACAACTTCATTTATCAAAGCCTGCCTTTGTTGTAGTTGGAGCAGCATTAACTACCCCAAGAGTCAAGTGTGTGTATGGATAAATTAGGTTTGTGCGTGGCCCCATGTCTCATTTGTCTACCCCTCTCCTCTCCCATTACATCCTGGTGTTTCCTATTTCTTAGATCTTGAAGCTTTGTGTTATTTCTGAGATGTGCTAGCATACTAATGTGATTTGAGTTTGTGATGAAATGAATGTATGCAGACCTGGTATATCAGAATACTACCAAAAGGGAAATAAGTCAGCTGTCACAAGATCTACACATAAATATTCTAATATAGAATACTCAGTGTATTCCAGAACCAAAACTAACCTGTTTCTTCTGGTACAATAGGGAGGTGCAATGGCTCAGGAGTCTCCCAAAAATTCAGCAGCTGAAATTCCTGTGACGAGCAATGGACAGCTGGAAGATTCTCATGAGCACAGCTTTAATAGGGTAAGAGCTTTCCTTAGTGTCTAACAAGGTACTGTTATCAGAAATGCTGAAGTTAGAATGCAATGCGTAATGTACTTCACTTGACATAGTTTTCTCAATTTTAGTTTGTTAAATGTTAATCTTGTTGGCAAGAATAGTAAAGAAATTCTGCCATGGGTGCATACAGATCACCTGCAAAGTCAGGAGTATGCACTTGTATGTTACTGACTCCTAAGTCCTTAGGATATTGATTTTTTAATCTTGACAATTTTACCAAAACAGGAAAGCAAACACTTCTAAAATACTGAAGTCCTGTGAAGTCCTAAAATAATTTTTATAAGCAAGTTTCATATTGTCTAAGGCAAGCTACTTCTAAGAGAGGTTAAGTTAGGAAGTAACACCTGTAGGTAAAGATGGTCACTTTCTGATGTGAAGCTGTAGATGGGGGGAAGTAATTTTTCTATACTTAACCTGTAAAATTACTACTGTATTGCTGTTATTAGATTATAAGTATTACACTCTGTCATATTTATAGCATGTGGAATGACTTCATCTGTATGTATGATCTGTGTTTTTCTTATCCTTATTGCCTTTTACAGCTGCTTCTTTTTTTGTTTCGCTGCCCAGCAGAGGGTGCTGTGCTACAACTTAAGGAATTTGGTGTTGGTCCTCTTTGCATTTATTTTGTTTTTCAGTTGGAGATCTGGATAATTAACTCATGTTCGTATTTGCTATCTATTTTGAGGAAATCTCTAAGCTCTAAACAGTTCCTTGCTGACATGCAATACAGAATTATTTCTAAGAGAAATACCGAGCACAGCTTATACTTTTTGTTGGACTACGGATTAGAGGGCAGGAAAAATAATTCCTTAAATTTAAGAAGTTATGTGCAACTGGAGATACTTCCTGATCATGTGTAGTTAAACGAAGTTAAAACTAAATTGTGGTTAGAGTATGCCTACGTTCTGGGTGGGACGACTGAAATGCATCTTGAATTGTTAGAAGGTATAGGTTCACTTGGGAATAGGAAAGCAGATGTACTATTTTTAAGCCTGACAACTTTGTTGCTGATACACTTGATTGCTGTCTCAAAGCTACTTTACCTAGTAATTGCTTCTTAGGATTAGTGTGTTCAATAATTTTTTAGCAGTTAATGGTACATGGAGATTGTTATCTTGTTGACTTGGTCACAGCACTTGTTTATTCCAGATATAATTACCATTTTCTGTGGAAAATTGAGATGTTAGAGAAGTTTTTGTCTATAGCCACGTGGTAAAGTTGAGGTAGATTCTTGCAGGTATGCTATGCATTTTTGTGGCTTGGAGTTAAATCTGTTCTGAAACTTCCACTGAACTCAAAAATGGATCAAGTATTTGGTTGAGTCAAAGAAAAATTACGCTGTGCAAATTTGATTGTGTTTTCTGATGTAGCTTTTCATACATTTTTGTATTTACACATTTTTTCATATTGGAATCAGTGAAGATGAATTTTTTTGAACTGTCTTGTGCAAGTTAACACCTGCATGACCTAAACTCAGAATATGTGATAAGTGGGGCTGCATATAAACAAAACAAACAATCTCCTTGAAATTAGTATCTATCTGTTTACTGATCTCTTAGTCTCAAATTCTAATATTAAGCTTCCATTCATCTTTGTGTTTATTATTTTTAATGGTTAATGCTATACTTTCTTTTTTTTGTTGCCAATATTTTCAGTCATTTTTTTGTTTTAGCCTAAGGCAGTGTTCTGCACCACAGTACTTCTGTGTCGAGTTTTCAGGGGTCGTGTTCCTACTAAGCTGTGGAAAGGACAGGCCAAGCACTTGTTTTTTAGGGGTCACTTAAGAATGGGGCAACATGCCGTTATCACAAAGTTGTGCTCTTACCACAGTGCTCAGTAAGTGTGTGAGCACAGAGGGATTTTGTCCGCTCAAATTCCAGTGCACTTTTCAATCAAAATTTCTTTGTAGTTGGGGAATAAGGCTATTTTAGTTTTTTGTTATTGTTATGGTCAGTGAGATTTACAGCTGTACACTGTATAATTCAGGTATAAATTAAAAAAAAAACAAACAAACAGAATTTATCCTGTATTTCTATTTGCTTGTTATTTCTATTTGTTTGTATGTTTTTTTGGTAGATTGAGTAAAGATGTACAGTGTGCTTTTCAAGATTCTGTGGTTATAAAGATTTACACAACCTTTTTAGCAGTATCATCAGACCTCATCCATAAGCCACTCGGGCATGACTTTTTTGACTCATTGTGGTATTTGTACGTACTGAAGCATGACATATACTTCATTTTAAGACAACGTAATACAAATAAATTTATTTCGAAGTGGCAAGGAGAGTTCCTTGTTCTTTGGAAGAAAAACGTGACTAGTTGTGCAGAATATCACACAGATCAGATTGTCGTAATGACATTGCAGGAAGAAGCATATTTGTTCCATTCTTATGGATATATATTAAAGCACTACTTGATGCATCTTCAGTAAGTTGTAGTTTCCGTATGTTTAAGAAAAAGCATCAAAAGAATATTTACAAGGTAACTTGAGTGTTTGCTTAACTGTAAAATCTCATTTAGAAATATGCTGCTGCATACGCTGTCTACTTTGTAATAGTAAGAGATGCCTAAGGAATTCTGACAAGTTTTGTCCTGCCTCCATGGTAAATGGAATTTTTTTTCTAACTAATAAAGCCTGTAACTTAAGTCATCAGTGGATAAAATGCCTAATGTTTCATTACAGGAAGGCTTGATCCGGTGCTTTTCAGCTCTCCAAGCTCTGTTGAAACTTAGTTAAGCTTTAAAGATGTGATGTTTAGAAGTGTTTGCTGATGTTTGGATGCTTTTTAGTCTATGTTAATAACAGAGAACTTCAGTGATTACTAATTAAGCATGTTTTTCCTGCTACTTTGTACAAGAAAACAAACCAAAAAAAAAAATTTATATTTTTTTACGGGTTTAAGTCACTTATCCCTGTCTTGTAGAACAAAGTTTTCTTCCCATGGAATTTTAATTGCGATTAGAATAGTAGTGGATTTAATGTTGCTGAAGGGATAAGAAGTAAGAAAGTATATTATTCCTTATTGAATCACATGCCATGTGATGTGGGAGCTGCATAGGAATAATTTAAAAAGCCTTATTAATTTGGTCTGCCTGTAAAGGTATTCAAGCAGCCTTAAGCTGCTACTTATGCTTAAACTGTTGTATGAGATCTGTACTGAGTTCTGAAGTCTGCATCTCTGAAATTCTCATTTCAATATCTCTTCTTCCGTCTCTTTTCCCACTTCTATGGGGATAAAACATTGTTAAATATGTATATAATACTTGTAATTAACTTTGGGAAGAAAAACAACTTAATTGTTAGTCTTCAATCTGTTATAATTCAAGCGCAAAAAATAAACTTTGAGATTTGGTGAACCTGAGTGCAAATACTCAGTGTCTTGTTCTGTCATTTTATTAGGTTTCCAGGTTATGCAGATAGGTAAGGTCAACTCATTTTGTCTTTTTTCATTAAACGCTCCCCCAGCCTCCTCTCTCATGTTCTACCTAAAACATCTGAGTTCTATTTGTTAGGTTTTGCTGTACTGACTGGTGTGTCTAGAACTCAATTTGTGCACTTATATTTTAATTCACACTGGCTTTAGAACTCAGATCAGCATGTCAGTTATAGAAAACTGCTTTTGAAATGAAACAAGTTCAGTCTGCCTGTTTGTTGCCAAGCGGTCTGCTTCATCAGTCTTAAAGAACAGTAATTATGAATGTGAATGATGCCCATACAAGTGAAACAAATATAAAAGCAGGTTGTGATATGGCATTACGTAAGCCTAAAGGATTGTGGCAGGAAAAACCTTCTGTTTCGAGAAAAATGTATGTATTGAGAAAAGAAGAAATACCAGCCCATGTTTTCTGCTTCTTTAAAGTAGAATAAGGCATTAAGCATAAAAATAAATAGCAGGAGAGCTGTAATTTCTATTGATATGAAGATCTAGAGGACTCTTGGAAGATAGAGTGAGGCAGAGGGTAGAGGAAAATATGGGATAAGGAGCCCCACTAGCACATCCATTAGGGCTGTAAGTGAAAGTTCAGAGCCATGTATCTTATTAGATGGATGTTATGTCTACTCACTGAAGATTACATTAAAATAATCTTTAAAACTTTAAACTGAAGTTTACAATATGATGCATTACAAATCCTTCCCAAAGGTAAATTTAATGTCTTATTAAAAACATCATTGATCATTTGAAAAATGTATGAGCGTGTGATTGTTTCCAGTTCCAGTTGCCCAACTTTGAATGGGCTCTTCAAATTAACAAGTAATGTGTTGGTCTTTTTTAAAATTGCTTTACTGAAAGTAATAAAGGCACCTAAAACTATGAGTTTTGAAAGTGTTGTTAGTAATAAGCCAACAGTGATATGTAGGTTTGCACTGACTCAACTAGACCATACTTCCACTGTTTTGAGCTGTTACTATCCTAAAGGGCTGAGAATGGCATAGTAATTCAACCTCTTGAATTCATGGGAATATTATAAGTTATAGTTTTTATACTTCTAATTGTGGGTTGCAATTGAAATACTGGATGATAATTGCATAAACAAATGCAGTGCTTCATTCATCGTTCTCAATTGTATAAGAATTAAGTCATCTCTTTCTGTGGTGACAATAATACATTACAGACTTGGATTTTTGAAATTATCAGTGTATCTTGAGTTCTAGTGACATTACTAAGAAGAATGTGCGAAATAACAAATCTGAAAGCAGTTTTTATGATCATCAAAATCTTCCTACTAGCTGGAAGAACGATAATTAGCCAAAACATGTTTACCTTACTGTTGAAGGAGAATCTGACTTCACTTCCTATGTTGTAACAGCAAATGTTGATGGGAAAAAGAGAGCTATTTACATTGCTTTCTTCTTACTTTTCCAAAATATCCATAAGCACTGTCATAGCTTCTCTTTAAAGTGAGGTCTACCCAGGTAATCTTTTCCTTACTCTAAGGTGTTTCTAAATTATCCTTGAAATGATAAATTGCTTCATCAGAAGCAGATGTTTGAGTAGCCTTTTTGTCTGTCTTTGTGCTTATAAGGAAGCACGGTCAGTTGCAGGAATCGTGCTAAACTGAAGTTTACATGCAGAAACATGTCTGTACTGAATGAAATTAGCTAACATGTTTGTAAACAGCAAAGAGGTAGTGGATTGGTAATCACTGATGACAATTCTCATTGCATAAAAATCTTTCTTCAGCAAGGTGTATTTCAGCTGGTTGGTATAGGTATTAAAAGGAGGCATGAATGAATTTCTTCACACTGCTCTTTACCTTTTTTGACAATTAAAGAAAAGATACCTTTGAACAAATGTTTGTGTGCTTGTATATGTATGTAGGTGTATACATGCCTCTAAAAAAACCCTGCCTAATATACCCACCATTGTATATCTTAATATATTTTCTTGAACTGAATATCATTTTTTTTATTTTGGAGAAGGATGTTTTATAATATTCTGAATGATTTATTTAACTGTAGTTTGTTCGGTCTGTGTTTAGCTTCGAATCACAATTGAACAGTAAATATAAAAGCACTATGATTGCTTAAGCTAAGATGTAAACTTCTGTTTTTACAAAATAGATGTTCTGCATTTTTATCTTGAAATACGGATGATGGCTTGGATTCCTATTTTGAACATGCTTAAGCAGGTTAGCTGTTTGGCTTCAGATTTAAATGTTTCTGTAAACTATACGAAGTGCCAGGGTGCCCTTGGGGAGAAAAAATAAGTTTGGTGCTGTGTTCTGTTTTCTTAAATCAATGCATCTTCCTCTCTGCTATTTGGTTATCTTTCTGCAAGCTTTTCTGCTTTTTTTGTGGCTCCTACTGCTTGCAACATTTTGAGTTAAATGGACTGTGAATACGAGCTGAACTAGGTTGAAGCTAAGCTTTCCATCATACTGCCAACTGTGTGTACTTAAATGGAGGTACCAGTGTAAGTCAGCTGCAAAGGCAAAGTATGTATCAGGTGTTGACATCTGTTTTATTTATGAGATCAGGTTCTGTGTGACTACTGTATGTTTTTCATGGTATATATTCTTTTCCATTTTCTTTTTGGTGTTATATTTAATGTTCAGAAATAGAGCATAATTTTTATTAAATAGCCAGTTGTATGAGTACAACTGTAGGAATTGGTTACTCCAGTTGCAGTAACTTCCTCAATTTCCCACATCAACTACATTTCTACTAAGCTTTTGCTTTTTCTTCCTCTTAGGAGTTTGTCTTAAACTGAAGACAAATCAGTCTGTGGAGATGTGACCCAAAGCCACTTCTTGACATTCTGAGCTTCTAGGCAGTATCATTCTTAGGCAATAGGTTATATCTTGTTTGTGGACTCGATAACTGCAATATTACATGAAACACACATTGGATTTTAAAGATGGTATTTTGTGTGTAATCTTTTAATTGCAAGTATTATGAATAGTAACTTTACGTATCCAGTGGCATTTTTTTAGAGCTGTGTATAGTTTTTGTCTACGTATTTCACTTTTGCATTCTTAAATATCTACTTGATGCATAGTTTCTTTTTTGTAAGTGTGTTTTACCCTTTTTCTTTTGTTTCTATAATAGCTTTTCATTCACTTTTTACTGTTAAGAATTAGTAGTTTATGTGGCTTTGAATGCCTGTACTTTTTTTTAGACACTAAGTGTATTTCATAACAATAGAAGTTTAAACTTGAGATAGAACATAGCCAGAGCTCAAAGGGTTCCAGTGAATGGAGCTACTCCTGGTGAATGGTCACCAGTGCTGTTTCCCAGAGCTCAGTTGAACAGCACCCTCAACAACAATGTGCTTTACCTTTTGCTTAGCTCTGAAGTGCCTTAAAGGCAGTTGGACTTGGTGTCTCAAGGTCTCTTCCAATCAAACTGTTCTATTGTCTTTCATTTTCTTAGAAGGATCTTAATTTCTGCCTCAACACAGGTGTAGCAATCAAAATTTAAAGAAGGGAATTTCATACTGTTTAAAATTGATTAATTTTAAAAGCAAAGAGAAGTAAGCAGCAAAGAGCATTTGTGATACAAGAGGTGCTCAGAGGGAAGTTGCTGAGGGACGATGCCTTCCTGGATGTTTCTGCTGTGTCAGAATTTGAAGAGATGCTGCTTATAGGAATAAAGGATTCTGTGATATTGAAAGATATTTCTTGCTTAGAGTGAAATAACTCGTATCTCTGATAGTTGTTTTCATGCTTTTGATTGTAAAACATTGTCTGCCCTTAGTCTTAGATCGTTCTGTACCCCCATCAGTTTAATGGAAAGCATAACTAAACTGCTGTGGCTGTCTGGACCACAGACAGCTTCAGACCACTTAACATGGTGATGTAGGCCATGCTTTTGGTAACTGCCACTCAAAAATATGCATTCTGGTTGTGCCTCAATCCTAAATTCTGTTATAATAGCTCATGTTTTCTTTAACTCTTTTCTTTCTTCTTGCAAATGTCAGAAGGAAAACACATTAAATTAACAAACCAGTGTATCTAAAATAAATACACAAGCTATGCTGAATGTTTTTAATTCAAGTTTTATTTTGCATCATAGCAGAGTGCTGTGTCAATGGCAAAGACATTCTAAGCTAAAGGCAAACCCATCTGAGAACTGCTAAGATTACATTGTAGTATCTTGTACTTGCTTTTTTGTTTTTTTTTTTAACATTAGTTTTCCATTCTATTCCAATATTTCAAAGGACTTGAAACGTTCATTACCAGCTGGACTTGGACTCTCTGAAACCAAAATAACGTCTCATGACTTTGACAGCACCAAAGAGGGAGTTGTTGAGGCAAGGCCATTTCCAGGGAAAGGTAACTTAATTTTTAATCTTTTTCTCAGTTTATGATCTTCAGGTATATTTTATGTGCTCAGCAATAACATTCTGTAGCTTCTGGGAGCATTTTTATATAGATGTATAGGCTGAGATGTATGTTTGTGACGGCCTTATTTGTCTTTGGTAGCTGGGGTGTTAAAATAGAACTGTTGCACTCATATTATCTGTCAAGGGACTAATAAAAGCTTTGTGTTAAATTGGCCCGCATGTGCAGGAAGGGAAGTCATTTCCTTGAGCACCTTGAAACTGTGTCAAACCAAACACTTTAACAATTACACCACTTTGAAAGTCTAGATTACAAGTGTTGTACCAATTTGAAATATAACTTTTCTTTATGCACTGTTCATTTACCTGAAGCAGATTAATTAGTGTAATTCTTCTGTTCCCAAATAGTCTTTCCTCCTTTAATGTAACAGTGCACATAATTTAATGTACTGTCAGGAGCGATAACACAATGGATCTCTCCAAGTACTACATAATTAAAATAATTTCTCTTATTTTTTCAGCACAGGTTCATGGTTGTTTAGAGCAGGAGAATTTTAGTTGATATTCTTTAGAACCTGTTAAGCCTTATAAAGCCAATTAAATATTAATTGGTGTTAAACTATATGGGGGAAAAGAAGATAAATAAACAAGTGATGTCAGTGTTTGCCATCTGTCTAAAAACAGTAGTGCAGTGATATAGTATGTGAAAGTGATAGTTTAATGAATTACGTAGCTTAGTCAGTTTCTGAATTTGAAGGTTTTGAAATGATCTCAAGAGGCAGCTGTGAAAATACGTCCCTTTGTAGTCACAGATTTAATTTGCATTTTGCTTCATTTCCTGTTTTGTAAAATGTGCTTATGAAAACAGTGATTTACATGCTGTACTCTACATATATTACAAAGTAAATGCTGTGGTTTCTTTAAGGCTGAAATAAGCAGAATACTTAACTAAAAACTGGACAGATGGCAAACCACTCATCGTTCTTGCCTTTCTGTTTTGTACTTGCAACATAGCACTTGGAAGTGCTAAGTATGTTAGACTATAAGAAAAAGAATATCTTAAATGTGTTTCAAGCTATGCTCATATGTTTGAAATCTAAATGTTCTGTAATAAGTTATGTACACAAATAATGAGCCTTGAACATGTAACTTTTAACAGTACAAATATCAGTTTTCCTTCAGAGACTGTTTTCAAATTATTCCTAATGTTCTATCCATATCAGAAAGATATAGCAGATTAGACTATAAAACTAGAGGCAAAATTTGAATGATAGCTCTGCTTTTAAATATTCTTTATTCTGAGTAGATATTCTGAGTAGTTATTAAGGCTTCATTTTTGAAGGTAAAGTAAGCAATAATGCAGGGAAGGCAAGGATCCAGGAGGTGCTGAATAGTGAAGTGTGCATGGGGCTGCGTTAATAGTGTCAAGTGCTAGGGATTTTTCTTTTAACTCCTTGTCTCTGTTTGCTTGCTGAAGTGATTTAATCAAGTAGGATCTTGTAGACCAACTTTTATGCCTGGATGGCTCCACTTGCAGCTCTTAAGTAATGTACCACAATCGAAGGGGACAACAATGGCACCTTTCAATCTCATTGCTTCTATGTAATGTTAAAGTGTTTTTATATCCCACGTATTAAAGTGTTTTGCACCTCATGTTGGTAGTGCTCTAGAATGGCAAAATCTGGTTGTTGATTTAGTTACTTCAAGTGGCATTTCTGCTGTTAGCGATAGGTAAGTTCTAGTGCAAAGTGCATAATTTAGACTTTTTTTAAAATCCCCCATCACACAGTGGTCACTCTCAATCCTACAAAGCATCTCAGATCTTTTCAGCAGAAGTGATAGAAGCACCCCCCGGTATGCTGATGACTCATGACTGCAGAGGAAAAGCTATCTCGTTCTATTTTTTGTTTAACTCTTGAAAATTCTGTGAGATTGTCACTCTGCATTTATGTGATAAGAAAGAGTTGCAAAACTCACTGAACAACTTAAGGAGCACACACATAAGGATCATTTGAAGGTGTGCTTTTAAAATGAGAACAAGCAAGTATTGTAAAATTCTTTTTTTGGGGAGGGAAGTTACTTGCCTTAACAGCTAATGATTCTTATAATCATCAGGACGGGTTATAGCTGAGTTTTGTGGGTGTGTTTTAAGTTTAAAAAAAAAAAAAAAGGCAGGTTTAGGAGCAGATGTTGATGAAGTCTAGTTAAAATTGACCCAGATTTCTGAGCCTGCTTGGCCACTTGATGCTGTATCATTCAGCAGCAGTGTGGAGTGGAATCTACCTAAAACTGAAAACGTGCTTTCATCTGCAGCAGCCATATATAGAGTTTTCTGTTGATAGTATACATATTTTACTTAAGAAGCTGCCAGTTGTATTTTGATTACTCTTTTTAAAGAAAGAAAAATTGGCATCATGACTTAGAAAATAAAATTAAATGACAAAAACTTGGAGTAGTTCACATGAACAGCTGCACCTTTTCAAAAGCATTTGTGCATCTGTGAATGCTTCTATTTAATGTGTTGCTAAAACAAATATTTCTTTGCTTTGAAAATCTATCTGTGTATAAGTACATGTTGCCTCCTAAGGGAAGGTGGTAGATTTTCATGGTTAAATGTGTCCCCTTTCCAGGTTCCTCAGCATCACCCAAACCAACTGTTATATCTGCCAGCAGTGCAGCAGCTAGCAGACTGGCTGGACAAGGTTGTGATTTAATTATTCCCACAGGTATCACAGCACTGAATGGATAACGCCCTTGTCTCTGCTGACACTGTACTAACTCCTCCTTCCCTTCAGTCATTTGATTTACTGTTACTTGGAAGCGTAATTTCTAGGGGCTTCTGGTGTTCCTGGTTTCTGGATTTTAACTGTTCACTAAGTAATCTCTGCTTCCCTTTCTATCTGCTACTTTTTGCGCTATAATGTTAAAAACAAATTACTACTAACACAGTAACTACTAGGTGTGTAAAAAAGTTCTTTTATTTTGGTTAAAGCTGAAACTCATGGCATTCTTTTTGCACCAAATGTTCCTATTTTCCTGTAAAACAGAGTATGAGGTGGCGATCAGGAATTTCTAACACCCAAGCTTGGCTTTGCCATTTGACTCATTTTGTGCCTATGGGCAAATTACTTAACATCTCTGTTTCCTTCTGTGTAAAAGGAGAAAACTCATTCTGTTACCTCATAAGGGTGTTGAGAGGATTAATTACCTAATGTTTGCACAGCATTTTGAAGGCATAAAGGATACAGTAGTGCTTGATGTTGAAGGAGTATCTCGGGGCATCTTTATAGATGTTTTTTCCAGTCACTTATTTACATAAATAACCAGCAGGGCTAAGGTAACTGTAAGTAGCCATCAGGACTATTCAAAGCATGTGACAGCAGCAGTAGTCAAAATTGTTTACGAATAAATAAAAAAAACCTGCTTTTAAAATGATAGAATTTGGCAGTTTTTACTGTTTAGTATGCTAGGAAATGATTTTTCAAAAATAAAACATAGAATCTGTAATGTCCTGTACTAGCTTGAAAATACTAAGTAGACACTGAATATGTGCTCGTGGACCCTAAATATTTTGATTTGATGCTAGCAAATGCTTCTTTATTGCTGTTTTCATGCTGTTGGTGCATGGAATTAATTGTTCCTAAACCAACAAGCTAAAAAAATCTGGAATACCTAAATAAGCTACACTTCCTTAATGATGGCTAAATGTGCCTTTTGGAAAGGATAACGTTCATTAGAAAGAAAATCTGTTTTGTCATGTCTTAAGTTATACTCTGTGGCAACAATTTTTCTAAGCTGATAACATTCATTTAGTGGTTTGCAGGGTGTAAACAAACTTTAGATTTGCTAAATCCAGGAGATTGTTCAATTTCTGGCATGTTAAAAACACAGATAAAGTAATGAACAGGTATCTAAAATGGTTTTAAGGTTGGTTAGTAAACTCCATGCTTTCAGGTAAGCTCCCTTCAGCCTATTGCCAAGTAAAAGTACTGAGATGCACATACTCTGTATCTATTTTTAATACAATTTTCTTGAATTCATCGTGAAAATTTACATATTTATCAATGTGTCTACTTTCACCTCATTCTCCTTTTGCATGTGCAGTTGTGCAAATCTTCCATACTCCTATTAATTCCTTAAACAAAACAAAAAACAACCGTCTCAATTACTTGCTTTGTGTCTAACACAGGGGGTAGAGCTCAGCAGAAGAGCGGACCTGTTGTGTTAGCAGATGAAGTAAAGAATCCAGCAATGGAGAAGTTGGAATTGGTGAGAAAGTGGAGCCTAAATACTTACAAGGTATGTGGACTTAAATTTGTATGTGCATATATATTCTAGAAATGAGTTTGCAACTAAATCGGACTACGGCTTTTGAAGAATTGCACCGTAATATGAAAGGAAATCATTTGTCATTTCAGTGAGCATAAACAAGAATGTGCATGGAAGACTTAGTTCTCTTTGTAAGACTGGATAAAGGTACTGATTTAACGAGGAAAAGAACGTTGTGTATCTGATGCCTCCTTCAAAATAGAGAATGTACGGATTTCAAAATTTAATACTTGTGATTAAGTCGTCTTGCTAAGCTGACTGCTGATACAGTAGAACTTTATCTGATGGAAAAAGTTAGGTGAATCTACAAGTTATAAACTTGTTGATTGCAATTCTGATATTTGTTTTATATTAACTCAATTTTTTTTCTTAGCGTTGTAATTGTTGTTTCCAGTTTGTCTGTTTTACTTTTGTATGGCACTTGTAGAAGTGCTTAAAGCACACCAGTTTGCCAGAAATGACTCTTCTTAGAATAGCCACAAAGTAAGGAGAAGTTGCCAGGAAATGTATTACAGTCAGGAGCTAAGACTAATTGTGAAAAATAACTTTCCATTGTGGATGAGACTCCAATGGCAGAGATGGGGACTGCTAGGTATGCATCAGTGGGAGCTACGTCAGGCCATAAAGAGGTAAAGAATCGGCTTTAAAATGGTTTTTCTTATAAAGCAGAGGTCCGAATTCCCTCCAATGCCTTGAACCCAGGTAGGACATTCTCCCCAGTTCAGTATAGTGAACGTAGACATTGCACTCACTAGAAAAGGTTTGTTGTTCGTTGTGTTAGAATCAGAAATTTGACCCTTTTTATGTCCAAAAAGCATATTTAGTTTGGTTAAGGACAATATTTCAGTTTGTCCACATACAAGCTTGCCTTGTTTCTCTTCAGAAAGGTGAAATTTTTTTTTTTGCTAGTTATCTTGTAATAGCTAAAAGAGCATTGGTTTTTAGTGAATCTTTCTCAATGACTACAAGTCTGAAATCTTTAGAAGGATAGATCATTAATGGCTAATCATAATTTCTTCCAATCCATCTTTCTTCCTAAGGACTTTGTTATGTACTTTTTGCTTTAGGTTTCTGTTTCCAGGTTTTATTACCAATCTCAGCCAGTTCACGTGCTTATTGCAAGTATTGCTCTTTGCCTGCTTTGGCAGTTACATTCAGAAATCATACCCATCTGTGAAATGATGATTAAGTATGCCCGTATGTGTTTTGTATACCTTACTATTTTGTCTCTTGTGCATCTCCATGAATGAGAACAGAAATAAGAGGAGGGTATAAATTATGTTTAAGCAACTGCTTCCCAGTGAAAAATCACAGGAAGTTGACACTACTGGCCTAGCCTAACTATGAATTTTCAAAGACTGCTTAGCTTTCTCCCTAAGCTTATAGGCTTGTAAAACTAGTTCATTGCCTTTGCAGATACTGGCCCTCTTCATTAAGACCTGCCCTGAGAATCAGTTGTTAACAGGTTGAGAGCTTGTTGATTAAAATTAGAGACCAAACCAATGAAGGGCATCTGGTGGTTGCGGTCCACTACAAGCCAACTAATCAAGGGGAGCTTGTTGACAAGGCCTTCTTACATCAGCTGCAAGAGGTGTCATGTTTGCAGGCTCTCATCCTGATGGGGAATTTCAGCCACCCAGATATCTGCTGGGGAAAACAACGTCGTGACCTGCAAGCAATCCAAGAGACTCCTGTTGTCCGCTGATGACAACTTTCTGTTTCAGATATTGGACAGACCTACCAGAGATAAAGTGTTTCTGGAGCAGGTCCTCATCAATGTGGAACAGATTGTTAGAGGGGTTAAGATTAGAAGCAGCTTGGGCTGCAGTAATTATGCCCTTATCATGTTCATGATTGCAAGGAACATGGATCTGGCAAAGAGTAGAATCAGGATCCTGAACTTCAAGAGAGCAAACTTGAAACTGTTTATGGAGTTGGATGAGATCCCCTGGGGAACTGTCTCTGGGGACAGAGAAACAGAACAGAGCTGGCAGCACTTCAAGGATGCCTTTCTGAGAGCACAAAAGCTCTCCATTCCCCAGAATAAAATCAGACAGAAATTGGGCTTATCCAGCTCAGAAAAGAGAAGGGTCTCAGGAGATTCAGTGTGGCCTTCAGGTGCCTGAAGGGTGCTAATTAGCAGCAGGGGGACTGTCTTTTTACATGATTCAGTGGGATCCTGGGCAGCCTAGTGACTGGCAGTGCTGCCCAGGGGGTTGGAACCAGTTGATCCAACCAGTTCCTTCCAACTGTGAGGCCAGTCTATGAGTCCTTCCAATCTTCTCCCTAGTTATCATGAGTTAGCCTCAGAAGGAATTGCTTGTTTGCCATGATCTAATGGCAAGAGCTTTTTCCTTTACCTAGACTTCTCTGGATGAGAGAAGTTCTTTCAGTTAAGAGTTAATATGGATGCAAGTTGCAACTCTTCTTTGCTTTCAGTAGTTTTAGTAAGCTTACCTAATTTTTCAGACAATTTCTTAAACTTTAAGGAAGAACATACTAAATGTATTTTCTAAACCTCTTTAGTAGTGGTCTACTAATTTGAACTGTCCAATAATGTCTCTGTTCATCCTTTAATGTACACAGTTTAAAATAACTTTCTTTAAATTTATTTCTGCAGATCTTTTATTTGACAGAATTGATTTTCTTAATATGCCTAGGATGCCTTCTCACTTGTTAATGACTGTAATTATGCTGGACAGTGTTTTTATAAGTACTTTTTTAGAACAAAGCAAAATGGAATTTATGTGAAATATTCTATTTGCTAGTGAGAGAGTATAGGAAATTGTGTTTATACCAGTCCTCTTGTAACTAGAGTAAATGGAAATAGTAGCTAGGTACATCTTCTTAGTTGCTCTTGTTCAATATTCAACTTTAGTTTTAACAAAGTAGGCAGAATAAATATTTCAGATGACTAATTCTCATTTGAACTGTTGTCTTTTCAGATATTTTGCTGTAGCTTCTGGGGAAAATATTCCCGTGTAATTTATTTTTACTCCTCCTCCCCCCCGCCTCCCCCAAAATTTTCTTCTTTAAGTTACATTTTCTCTTGGATTTCCATAGGTATGTGAGAATCAGCTTTTTCTTTTTTAAATAGCCAGCACTTATTTAATTTTATTTTTTGTTAAATACTTCATGAACTTACCAATCTTTTTGCTAAGCCATATTTTCTAATTTCACTTGCAAGACTTGGTGTTTCTGATGTATTCAGTGATGATATGATTTGTGCTCTTCAAAATTTCTGAATCTTGACAGAAAAATCTCCTAGATTAACTGTGTTCGTTCTTGTTAATTGATTGAATCTAGTGAAATAGTCCAAATGCTCTGTACCTTCTAATCCAAAGTTTATCAGTTATATGACCAACTTGTTCAGCTAAATCCTTCTTGAGTCTTTCTTTTATTTGTCTATTAAACTTAAAAAATACTGAAAAGTTCTAACAGGTATTATAAGTCTGTCTGTCCCCTTTGAAATTAAGGAAGGACTGGACTAAACTGAATTCCTTGGAGACCCTGGAAAATCCAGTGCTGTAATGTGTTTTGGGAATGTGAATTAAGATAGGGTTGGTCTTTATGTCTCTCAGCAAAACTGAAGTCTTGTGCTTGGGTGAAGTTGTAGCCTTGTCTATTACTGAGTTTGATTGTAATCCTGTTTCTAGCAGTCATTCTTAAAACATATAGTTTAATTTTTATCTTCACAGATTAACTTGAATTTAATCATAGCAGCAAATAATCTGTTTTGCCGAGGGAAGTTGCACAGTTTTGCCACATTTCTGCTTTACAAATTACTTTTATGTATCGGTCAAGGGAAGCCCAAATGGTGTGTCTTGGGAGCCTTGCTCTCATGTTGGTCTCTGGTCTCTGGCAGAATGTCACAGACAATTGGAACATGGTAGCTGTCACAGCCATTGGCTGGCTGGTTCAGCCTTGTAAGGGCAAGACTTGCTGCCCACTGTATAAAGAAACTGCAAGGATGCCTCAGAATGTTTATTTTCAGACCCAAATAGAATTCTTAACAATCAGCTCCATTTTATAGGTGTGTTACTAACGAAAAAACGCGTTTTTGTTTTACATATTAGTGAAAGTTTTAAGTCAGCTTTAAAAAACATGCTGAAGACTCCCTTCCATCCATCTTCTGCTCCTTCCTTAGAAAAAGAGATTAAAAAATTTACACGTTCTCAGGGCCTTAATGGAAATTCCAAAAAATAACAGGGATTATCTGGAATAGGATGGTTAGTAGACAAAGTCTAAAAGATCACGGAGCAGAAATTGTTATGCAGAACTGGTAATATTCTCATTAACTGCCTTGAATATCGTGGGCTAAATAATTGCTTCTTTTAACTTATAAGATTCACTGAACCTAAAGAGAGATAAGCATTCTTTTACTTGAGAAACAATTAGTTATACTCTTGATTTGCTAACTTGAATATTCATATTAGTAGGAGTTGAGACTTGTCCAACTGTTCTTGCTGAGTCCTGATGAACTTCTAAAGAGTGTGGTGGTTTTTTTTTCAGTTTGTTGTGCAAACTTATATTGGGAGGGGTGATTGTGAAAGAATTGTGTGTGATTATCTGTCCCTTGAAGCTGAAAATGGGTGTATACTGTGATGTCTTGGATATATTTGATTCTTTATAATTTAAATTTCTTTCCAGTGTACACGTCAAATCATCTCTGAAAAACTGGGTCGTGGCTCAAGAACAGTGGATCTGGAGTTGGAAGCTCAAATAGATATACTGAGAGATAACAAAAAAAAGTATGAAAATATCTTGAGACTGGCACAGACTCTGTCTACACAGCTCTTCCAGATGGTACATACCCAAAGGCAACTTGGAGATGCTTTTGCTGACCTGAGTTTGAAATCATTGGAACTTCATGTAAGACTTTTATGGTGTTTTAAAAAAATATGTAATGAAACGGCAGAGATGAAGATAAGCCTAATTGACTTGTGCAGGTTGTATGGTAATTAGCAGCCGGTCCTATAAACATTTGTTAACAACATTACGTATTCTTTTTGTTAAAAGCATCTGTAATTCATTTAAAACTGTAGCATATCACTGGAGTTACTGTAGTTCTTAAGTGTTTCTAAATGTTTGCCTTTAGCTGATGATTGGACTTGGCAACTGACAACCTTGCTTTGTATAGAAAATGCATTTTACTATTCCTTTTTTCTTCTAATGAGATATCAAAGTGTTCTGGAGCATTACTTCATGTCAATTACAGGATTTCTTTTGGGAAATGTGCCTCACAGTGGGTAGAGTAGGGCATATTACTTCACTTCTGCATGTTTAATGTGAGTAAATGATTCTTCTGCAGTAGAGTCAAGCACTGAGATTTCATCTTGTAGTCTTTTTTTAATCATAATAATGCTGCTAATAGGACTAATTTTTCCTTTTATGTTTGGAGTTTCTGAGCAAGGGAGGCAATCTTCGGATATCTGCATTTGGGTTGTTCTTACAAGTTTACAAATGCATGTAGCACTGTCACTTTATCACTCATCACAAAACTCTTGTAAAGAAAGAGAAGATAGATGTTGCGTACAAAAAAAAAAAGTTGGTTTGCTTCTATGTAAATCCTTCTGTACTTCCAGTGTTAAATCAATTTCATGCTCTTCCTGATCTCTTGGGAAATCAGTACCGAGGGGCTTAGTGATTCCCTGGAACGTAGCTGATGAAAAAGCCCAAATTTAGTTTGTTGTTATTAAATGTAATACTTCTGTTTACTTTTCCCTTTTCATGATTGCCTGTTCTCATTGAGTTTTAGGGAAAAAGATGGAGTTAATGTTTGTGTAGAACAATTTTAACCACTAGCTAGTTTAAAAAATAAATAAATCAGACTTGCACTGGAGTACAGAAATTTTTAATATTATAGCCTAACAGTTGAAAATCTCAAAATATGCCACTTCTAACAGGTAAGAAATTAAATCTCCTAAGAGGAGTAGTTTTGAGTTATCAGTTGATTCTTGACTCAAGTATGGGTATGTGGTTTGTGGCAGAAGTTAGTGAGCGTTGTGAAGTGCATGCTGAAGCTGGATGTTTCTTCTGAAACCTGGATTAATCTGGAATCGTGCTCTTATTTAATGAATGGTTTTTTCATGAATAGCTTGTATTTCTAGTGGGAATATAGTTCCTCCAGGTTCTTTCAGCATTTTTTACTGGTCTTGGAATTTGTTTCAGTCATTCATCTCTTATGTAGATTATTGAATGGGGCTGTTCATGAAAATCAAATAAAGGTTTCTGCTGCTGTAATAAAAGTTATCTAACCTTTGCCTCTTGGAGACTTGCCTGATGTTTGTCTGTTTCCTCTGTGTTTTTCCTTTGTTTAATCTGTACTGTATTGCCATCTGTAGCCTGGCCTGTTCTTGAATGTTTGAATAACTTTGCCTCTGAAACTTGTGCAGGAGTAAAAGTAAAATTTCCGAACAGTTCAGTGTTCAATTTGATAAATAGAAAAAAAGAAACATAACTTGTTATAGGTCATATTTTTTTTAAACATGTTAACAAAATAAGATCTTAATATGGTATCTACAGAGGCATTACTTCAATATGTTTTGCTGTTTCTGTTTTGGATACAAAGATAACTCCTAGTTCCAGGCTCATATGCCTCTAATTATATAGAGTGGTGAATTCCAGTTGTAATTGACCTGTGCATAGAGCATGAACTGAGTATAAACTCCCATACAGAAAGGATTTCCTGTCTTTCATAAGAGGTATCTGCAGAGGTCATGGACAAAACTCAAGTTTTATATGAAAGTATGAACCAGTAAAAAGACAGCTTTGGTGACTAGCACATATGTTTTAATATGACAGACCACTGCAGTCCCATCCTTACCCTCCTGCTTTGAACTGGTAGTTTTGCTCATTTGTGTCTGCAGTAATCTGGGTCACAGGACCAGCTGGAAGGCTAATTGTGGGCTTGCCCATAGGAGGGAAAGATAGCACTAAATACTGCCAGAAGGGCAGTCCTACTTCAGCTTTTGTCTTTGCCTATACGCTCTTATTCTCTGTGCTCGTGCTTATGTTGCTATCTAGTTAGCAATGTGAGAGCAAAACCAGCTGAAAATATTTTTCTTGATTTCAGAGGATCTGTAGTGATCTGGCTGCCTACACATAAGCAGTGTCTAAAAGAAAGGAGATTTGAAATATTCTAGCAGCATTTTTAGGCCCTTAGCTCATGAAAATTTGCCTTAAGTTCTTTGTATTTTCTCCATTAAACTGCTTGTTTCCACTACATCTCGTTTTCTACTTTTTCTAGAGACTTCTTCCCTTAACCTTGTCCATTAGCCTTTCTGTCATGAAGTCATTCATGTTTACATGAAATACCATTTGGCTTCAGCGTCTCATCTAGACAGATGAAAAGAAAATGGGAGAGTACAGCACTTCTGACTCAGCTATTGGCAGGGTGCAAGGCTAAAAAGACCGATTTCCAAATATGTTCCTAGTGTTTTATAATCCTTACAACCAGAAATTGTACTGTTTTATGAGAACTCCCATCTGCAGAATATGAAGATGCCATATGGATGACATAAATAATTGGACTTATTTGGCATCCATGCATTAGGAAAATTGTTGCAGCCTTGATCAGTGCTTATGCTCCTGTCAAAAAGAAAAAAAAAAGGCACTAAGAATCATATATCCAAATGTGACCAAAATGCCTTGCAAATAATTTCTCCCTGATCACTTTGAAGTTTGTGGCTAATGCACATTTTTACTTGCTAACTGTTATAATGCTCAGCTGTTTTGGTCATTTACAGCCTATTAAAACATGGTAAGATTTTCTAAATTCAGTGCTCTTTTCCAGAATGTGTAAAGAGTAAAAATTGTCAGCTAATTAATGCTGTGTGCCCTTGTGAGTTATTTTACTGTATTTAATGTAGTAGTATTCCTGTTGGCATTAAAGAATTACCGAGGCAATCACGTGAGAGATGCTGGATTAAAATAGTACTGAATGACAATGTAAAAGTCACATCAGCATTTTTAAGTAGCGTTTAAGATTTCAGAGTTGAAGGGAAAAATAATTCTGAAATAGCATTTAAGATCGTATGGTATCAAAACTGTATTGAGTACTTTACATATGTTAGAGAGATTTCATAAAAACTGTAAACTGAATATTGTATTGAAATCTTGCACATTTAATTGTAACTGTATCCTAACTTAAGTGGCAGAATTTGTATGTCTGTGTTTTTGTCTTTTATATAGTTGCTGATGAATGTTATGATTTGAAATGATGTGCAGTTTTGTTTTCTCTGCTCTCTGTTTATAGGAGGAGTTTGGCTACAATGCAGATACGCAGAAACTTCTAGCTAAAAATGGAGAGACTCTTCTCGGGGCTATTAACTTTTTTATTGCCAGTGTGAATACATTGGTGAATAAAACAATTGAGGATACATTATTGACTGTGAAACAATATGAAAGTGCCAGGTAGTTATTCTATGTCTAGCTATTTTCATTACAAATTAATATTCAGGGAAAAAAACTTTCTATCAGTTTAGTTCTTGTATTTGAGCAACTAACCTGTTAGCTATAAAACTTGTCAGAAAAACACAATTCTTGTATAACTGGGTTTTAACATTAGCCACCTCATTACGCATATCTTCAAGTGTTTTGTAAATGTTCTATTGTAGGCATAATTTTACTTCATAGCTTTATTTCTTTAACAAGTTAGTAGCTATTATATCCCTGTCTGCTAGCTTAAGGTGATTTTCTACACCACGTAACAGTTTGAGATTAACCATTATATATCTAGCAATATTGTAATTAGTGAAATCATCTTTGAATGAAAGACAATTTATACTGAGCTTCTTTTGATGCCCAGTGCGTGTAATTCACACTTCAGTTTTCATGTAGAAGTTGCAAGTTTAGTCTAGAAAGGGGAAAACAAAGAGGCATTTCTTAATGTGCAAATAGACATCGATAATGGGTTTCCCGTCCTGGAATTTACTTTACTCTGGATGCAGTGCAGAACTTTAAGCTAGGCTTCCTTCTTCTGTGTGGCTGCAGTTGTGATCTTTATTGATGCTTTGTTCTTTTCTGACTTTCAGGTTCAGAGTATAGTGTCTGTTTTCTAATTTGCTGAAAGATGTAGTTAATGCATATTTATTTTTGCTATTTATAAGTCAAAAATTGCTGGTTTCTTGAGTTCTGAAGGTTTTTTCCTGCCTTTTTTCGTTGCTGTTCTAATGCTTAGGCATTTTATAAGCAAAGTAGCAAGTTATTGCTTTTATATTTAGTTTAACTTTCAAAAGGCCTGAAAAGTATAATTAACCTCAATGTAAAGAACTAAACTAAAATAAAAATCAGTCCATACATTTTTGAGGCTTTCTCTTGAAATGTTATATAAAATAAATCTGGTTGTTCTTGTCAGTTATTCTGAATGTATGGTTCTTCTGTCCTAAAATACCTTCATGATTTTTTTCTTTTCATTCATTAAAGAAAGTGTTTTGTTGCTTTGATAAAACAAATATATATTTATATATAACTAGTCTTTGCAGTGAGAGAATAGTTCACATTTATTTGTGCCTCATCTTTCCTCTCTCCTTTTGGACTTCAGTATTCATCAGTTTCCCACCGTTCCGTCAGTTCTTTATTCATCTGTTTCCTTTTTGGAACTAAGTCATACGTTCTTTAAATAAAGCCTGAATCTCAGTGGCAGTGAGAATCAGGAAGGGCCCTGTGAATTCTATAATTACTGTTATCTCAGAAAATATGTATTCTTTTGGAGTGCTTGTGCCACCAGCCCAGAAGTCGTTTGTATTAACAGTTTTTAGTTCTGTTTCTTCCAGTTTCAGAAGTATCTATGTGAGAGAGAGTATTTACAAAGTCAGAAATAGGTTGATTTGTTCCTTTAAAATTGGCATCCATTACATGTTGATACAGTGCATTCCATTATTTTAAAACTAAAAGAAAACTATGGGAGGAAGAGCCCTGCTTTGGGCAGGGCTGTCCATGACCCTGACTGATTTCTGGCTATTGTCAGTTGCTATACCTGGTCAAGTGCTACATGGCACTGAAGGCGGTGAACAAAGGAGCAGTACTGTACAGTAGGAGAAGGGAACAAAAAAAGAGAAAGGTTGTTACTGTGTCTCATCTATCTGCACTAATGTTTTTAAATATAAAAATAGTTTATCTGGCAAGGATCCATTGTTCAGTAGGCTTTTATGTAACAGTGGAAAGCAGAAGAGAAATTTAGTGATATCCTTACACGAATAATATTCCACAGGTGTTTTTCCCTGAAAAGTATAATACCTGAAATTGCTTTATACTGATGAATAGAAAACTTAATATGAAATAATTTTGTTAATGAAAATTTACTCAGTGTTTCTAAAGTCAATGCTCAATAGAATAAAATGAAACTTTAAAGTATTCTAAGTACAGGACTATTTTGATATATTTTTTTTCCATTGAAACAAGAGAGAAGGTATTACTGTGTATGTCTTTATGTGATAAAAGGTACCATCTAACATGGAAGGATATCAAGGAGGCTTAGTTTTGGGTTTTGTTTTTTTTTTTTAGATAGTGGTATATGAAGACTAGATGGGTCAACTGAAATGTTATCAAGCAAGTACCTATGCATAACATGAGTTCCATTTTTACTAGCAGTGCCTAGGACAGAATTTCACATTTTGTGCTTTTTATTGTTGGCACGTGTTTACTTTTTAATTATTGCTGACTCTGGTAGATAAATTAAAAAACACTTAATCTTATTCACAAGCTGGATATAAGCATTCATTGCAGAATTAGCTCAAGTGTTTACTTGAGTAACTCAAGCGTTTATTGTTAAGACTCAGCTCCCTCAGTGGCTGTGTTGGTCCAGTGTATCTGATTTCCTATGGAAATTAGATGGACCATCAAGAGGGTATAAATAACATCTTTCAGCCTTTCTATTCTCAGGGCAGGCAACTTCCAAAACAGTTCTGGTGTAGTGACTGTAATTGTAACGTTTTAAAATCTTTGTGAGACAGTAAGTGAGCCACTGCTCACTTAAAGGAGATGTCCAGCTCTTAGTGCTTCTCTTGCTCTTGCTGCAAACTTTTAATGAGCTGACTTAACAACAGAAATATTACGAAAGACTAGTTCTGACTAGATAACTGAGTTAATAAGCCGAGATGTTCCAGGAAAGAACCTGACCACTGAGGCCAGCACAAAGCAGGAACAGGCTGCCCAAGGAGAGCACCTGTCCCTGGAGGTGTTTAGGACCAAGGCTGTATGGGGCCCTGGGCAACCTGATCTTGTGCTTGATCTAGTGGCTGGCAACTCTTCCTGCAGCAGGGGAGTTGGAAGTTGATGATCCTTGAGGTCTCAAACCATTATATGATTCTATGAAAACAGAAGGTTGGAAGCATGTGGGTGAGACAGGAACAGAAGGGCGAGGGTATTTGTTGAGGCTTTTTTATATGATGTACCTGAGAGTGTTGTTTTTTCTTCCTCCTATTTATCAAGAAAATTGACAAGTTTCATCACTTTGTTTTCTATACTTGACTATTTTGTTAATTTGCTATTGTAATTGACCCTATATGTGAAGTCTGTTTTGAGGCATTTAGCCTTTAGATTTTTTCCTACCCCTCTTTCTTCTCAGGATTGAGTATGATGCTTATCGAACAGACCTGGAAGAACTTAATCTTGGCCCTCGTGATGCAAGCACTCTACCAAAGATTGAGCAATCACAACAGATGTTTCAAGTGCATAAAGAGAAATATGACAAAATGCGTAATGATGTATCTATCAAATTGAAATTTTTGGAAGAAAATAAGGTAAGCTACAACTTCTCCTGGTGTTGTACTTACATTTTGTCCTGGAAGTCTCTGCTTTCCTAAAAATGTGTTAGCTATTTCATCTTAAAATACATCTTAATCTAGAAGTAGAGCAAGCAAAGAAAATAACCTACATTTTCAGAATTAGTGTATTGCTGGATAATATAGTTCTAGAGGAGACAATTTTAAAAGGCCTTAAGTAAATTAGTGCAATTACAGATGACGACAGCAGTAAGATTTTGTTGATACGAGAGGCTTAATGTGTACTGACATAGGAGGAAAAATGTAATATCTAATCATTAATAAAGGCATATAACCCCTGATTTAAGATTACAGTAATATTTACATCTAAAAGTGCTGTCCTGGGGGATATGCATCAAGAAATTAAAAAGAGCTGTGAAGAGGTTTCTTCAGAATGAAAATTCCTGTAATAATAATAATAAAAAAAAAAACTGAATTGAAAATTGCAGCTCTCTATAGTTAATGCCCTTACAGTTTCCTAATTCTAAACTTTTGAACTGTAGGCTTGAAGTTTTTGTCCCCAGCGGTGTTCGTTCAAGCTGCGCCATTTCATCTCTGCCCTCCTAATGACAGGACTCTTACCCCCTCTTATTCTGCTTGCCAGACAAAAATACAATTGTCATACAGGACGCACTGTTAAACTGTGCTTTTTTTTGGTAACGATGTCCTTCTAAATTGTTTCTAATTAAATTATTAAAAAGATGGTCTTTCAAGATCTGAATTTTGTTCATTAATTAGATTGTTTAGGGAACGCCAGTGAAGCTAGCTTATCAGTGACAGTCTTGAATTAGATCAAGCATCCTGTTAACAGTTGCAGCCTACAAATTTTGTTTCCTTCCTACTGCTTCCCCTCCTGCCCCCCCAATAAATACAGAAGGGACTGTCACATGCTTAAACCTTTTTATCACTGGTTAACTCTTCTTTGTTTTAATATTGGAGATGTCAAAATATTTTCTAATGGGGGGGGGGGAGCATGTAACCTTGTTCCCAAATAAGACATGGGAAGGACTTTCTCTACTTTCAAATATTGGCTTATATATTTCTTTACTAAGAGCTTTACTGAAGTAAATTCCCTTTTGCTGTTTTCTATTTATTTTGTAGAATCCTGTATGTTTTAAAGGTTTAACCTTAATTCTAAATCTGTGAAGTATTTTTTTCTAGTTTGCATCCATCTCTGGATTTTCGTTCTTCTGTTGCCCCAAATGTTTCCTGGGATTCAGTGGGAGGCAGTGATTACTGAAGTGTTATGTTTCTTCCAATCCAACATATTTATTCCTTTGTCCAGTGTCAGCCATCTTTTGTCAATATCAACGTAGTGAAGCTCCTGTTAGACCTCATAATGATCCTGCAGATAGTATTAGTAAATAGAAATGCACAACTGATTGACCAGATAATCATAATACCCGTTATAGACACTACTACTAATTTTTAGGCATATATGAAGTATATGCGACTGGTCTTAAGGTGATTACATTTTATGTTGTAAGGGTTATTAAATAGAATCATAGAATGACTCAGGTTGGAAAAGACCTCAAAGATCATTGAGTCCAACCACGACCTAACTTGTATAATCAGTAAGTATTAAGTCTAACAGAAATTAACACGTAATTCTTACAATCAGAGATGTTCTACTTCTTCCAAAGGTATGTGATGGCAATTGCTATGAAGCCTCATAATTTAAACACCTATAAATACAGCATGTGCCTGACTGGAAGGAGGAGGAAGAAGAGCCTGATAGATATAGTTGCGTATGTATTTGTAATATAGCTGCTTCAGCTGGTGGTGTGGTGCACTCATTCTTTTTAGGAGATGGCTTAAGCTGAAGACCATATAGGATGCAGAGCTCCCAAGGGGGAGAGCAATCTTAATATTGCTGAGTCATTATTATTAATAGATTTTGTAAAGGTTCTGAATCAAGAAGTAGGCTGATATTTGTTCAGTGTCTAATTAGACAGGTTTTTTAGGTAAGAATGGTATGATAGCCATATGTTGCATTGTGTTGCTGATTTTAAAGCCCTTGGAGTCTTCTATATGCTGATACAGGATGTAGAACACTGTAGTCTCAAGCTTAGCAGCCTATTTTTTATTTTTTTTAACTTATTGTGCTACAGAAAACAAGGTGTTGAGAGGGAAGCGTGTGTGGGGGGAAGAAGACAATATTTTTAAAACTTTAAATGTTTAGAACATCCAGGGGTGAAAACTCAGTTCCAACCTACATTATCTTGCATACAAAATGTAAAATTTGCATCTTCTTTTTAGACTACATCTATTTTTGTTTATCCACAAAGTTCAGTTTTACTTTGAGACTTGAGTTTGCCAGGTGTATTGTGGAGTGCTTACTCAGCTTTTAATTAAGAATAAATATGCATATAGTTAATTAAGAGGGAACAGTAACTTAATGAATGTTCGACTGAAAAGGCACGATGGCTTTTTGACAGTCATGTTAAGCACACCTTGGAACCTGTATTCTAGCAACTAGAATTGGTCCCTGGAATGGATGCTACAACTTAGTGCTTAACATTTGGCCTTTAGCGCTGCAGTCTAGCAGTGACTTGTAGACTCAGAAGAAAGTGGTCTATTCCTCGTGGCTATGCCTCTTCTCTGACTGTGCTTTCTCTGCGCTTACGAAAGTGTTTTTGCAGCTGTGCGTAGATCCAGGTTAAAGCAAATACATTGTTGTCTGGTTAGTTTTAATCTAGATGTTGCACATCTAGATGTGCTCCCTAATCCAACTGACTGCATGACTGCCTAAATATTTTGCCAGTGCAGGGCTAAGGAGAAAAATAGTATGAAAGTAGGAATTGGTGGGTGATTATGGGAATGGGTAAGGCTGGAATTTTTTCAGGGAAATCTGGCCAGACTTGAATTTGGATTCTTGTATTCTAGTTCTCAGCTATGATTTCAGATTTTGTTTCAGAGGACATCAGGTGATCTGAGATATTACAGTTTTCTCTCTTGTCTCAGCTGGCTGCTGCTTCATTATAGAGCTTAAAGGAGGGGAGGTGGATATATACTTCTTAGTAGTGTGACAGGTTTTGCTTCTGTTCGGTTTGTTGGTATTTCTTGGGTTTTTTGTTTGTTTTTAGAAATTTTAATGGAGATGCCACAGCTATTTTTTAGATTCATTTAGTAATCAGCTTCTGAAGGAGCAAGGAAGGAGCAGTAACATCTTGAGTGAGGGATCTGCAGCACGGGCCTTATGAGGAGCAGCTGAGGGAGCTGGGATCGTTCAGTCTGGAGAAGAAGAGGCTCAGGGGAGACATTATTGCTCTCCATAACTCCAAAAGGGAGGTTATAGTGAGAGAAGAGGCTGATCCCCAGCTCATGTAACTAGTGATAGGGAATGTCCTGAAGTTGTGCAAGGGGAGATTCACACTGAACATTAGGAAAGGTTACTTCTCTGAAAGAGTGGTCAGGCACTGGAATGGGCTGCCCAGGCAAGTGGTGCAGTCACCTACCCTGGAGGTGTTCAAGGAACCTTCAGACTCTGTGTTGAGGGACATGGTTTAGAACCTGATATATGTGGGTGGTTGGACTGGATGATCTTATAGGTCTTTTCCAATCCTGGTGTTCTGTGAAAAGCGTGTATAGAATGTTTTACTTTAACATTTTTCTTAAATGAAGGCAATAAAGTGCTTCTGTACTAAATTGCATGGATCTCAAAAGAGCACGTTAGTTGAATAACCTGTAAAAGCAAATACAGTCAACTGGTAGGCATAGACTAAACCAGACCAGGGACAGTTTTGCGTTCCATCATGATAGAAGTAGGCTGTCCCTTTAGGACTGTGCTGATATCATTATCCCTTTGGGTTCAGTCAGCCGCTCCATTTCTTTGTTCTCTTCCATGTTGGCAAACTGGGCTCAAGGTCCTGTAGGGCTGGAAATGGGCACAGAGTCACCAGCTTAAGCAGTGGGATTCTTTGATGCAAGAGCAGGGCTGTGCTGGGCTGAGAATACATGGTAGGAAAAAAAGAACAAGTTTTGTCTACAGGGAAAAGCTGGAAAGATGCCTTTTCATCATACTAGTCATTATTCATGTTTGGATTTACTGAAAATGTTCACATTTGTTTGACTTAGACTTGATCAGCTAGCTTGACATTATAGACTAGGTAAGAAGAGAAACAGTGATGTCCTCCAGCTGCTCTTGTGCTCTTCTGCCTGCACTGTTATTGCTGCGAGGAGCTTTGTGTTTCACAACTACTTTATACTTCTATAATCAAAATATTGACCAAGTGCTATAAATCCTGCATTACCAGAGGTGGGCAAGAAGAAACATTGTTGGGAAAGAGCATCAGTTGCTTTTGACTTAGGTATACAAGAGCTAGAAAATACACTTCTTTGTAAGAGGGGCAAATAAATGAAATGTATACTTAAATGCATTTTATCATGTGCTGTGCTTGGCTTGCAGGTAAGTATATTGAGCAGAAGTGTGGCATCTACTTTCAAAGAAGCAAGTATTTGTAATCAAGTATTTGATAGTTGATAGCATTATCTGTTTAGTGAATTGCTTTCAGTCCATTTGTGGAGGCTGCTCTGAAAGCAGTGCCTCCTATTTTATTCTGTCAGCTCAGGATGTCAGAGGCTGATGTTGGTGGTATGGCAGTTGAAGTTGAACCTTCCTGCCAGTAACCCATTACGTGTTGTTGCTGTGAGACAGATGGCAGCAGAGGGGCAATCTGACAAAATGGTGTCTGACACGGAAATGCATATGGTACAAAGATGTGGCATTGAATTCTTGCATGTGGAAAAAATGACACCCGTTGAAATCCATTGACGCTTGCTGAACATTCATGGAAGTCAGACAGTGGATGTGAGCACAGTGAGGCGGTGGGTGGTGCGTTTTAGCAGTGGTGACAACAACGTGGAAGTCAAGCTGTGTTCCAGACAGCCATGCAGATTTTCTATGAGTGTGGTATGCAGACTCTTGTTCATTGCTGTTGAAAATGCGTTGCTAATGGTGGTGACCATGTTGAAAAAATTTTTAGTAGCTGAGAATTTGCTCTATCAAACAGTGTTATTGTGCTCTTTGTATCTGTGGTAGTTTCCATGGAAATAAATAGGAGACATTACTCTCAGAGCGACGTATGTATGTTGAATTGGTAATGACTGTTAAGTAAGCTTCATGAAAATACTGGATCACTTCAACGTTACAGAATTTTGTATTTGCATTTTGTATAATTATTTTTAAACTCACATTAAATAACCTTGTATGAAGTCTGAGCATCTCAAATAGGCTTATTTTGTTGTAGTAGACATATGACACACGGTGTCTGAATGTTCATCTTAATGAATGTCTGCCCTTGTCTCGCAGGTGAAGGTCTTGCACAATCAGCTTGTCCTGTTCCACAATGCTATTGCAGCGTACTTCGCTGGGAATCAAAAGCAGCTTGAACAGACACTTAAACAGTTTCACATCAAATTGAAAACTCCTGGAGCAGATGCTCCATCCTGGCTTGAAGAACAGTAATCAAAGAAGAGGACCCAATGTTAACCTAAAATCTTTAATAAGAATTAAGGGTTGGGGTTGGAGGACTGTTATAGTGATTCTTGCACAGAGAGCTTTACTTTTTTTTTTCCCTTTTATGACATTGGAAAACTGAATTTGTTGGGAAAATGGGTAACTTTAAGGTAACTAAACATAATTTCTATCATTTCAAATACAGAGCACTCATTTTGTATGTGAAGGCTGGTGGTTACTTCTGTAGCTGGGATGGGGGGCGAGGGAGGGAGGGGAAAAAAAAACTATATGGATTTGCACTGACAAATTATGTTTGTGATTTCTGGTTATTTTGGTGGCTAGTCAGAATATTTCCAAATGGAGATTTACGTGATTTGTACCAACATCTGGTATTTTATAGACAAATATAAAAACATCTTTAATAATTTTCATATGACTTTTAAAAAGGAGAGAGTTAAAAGAATATTTTGCAAATTAATAATATAAGGCTGGTATGCAGTACATGCATATAAGGCAGCAGTAGCGGTTGGCTCTGACTAGTGGAATTGCAGCAGATGCCTTTTTAAAAGATGTACCTTTCCATTGTAGAGATAAAAAACAAAAAAACACTAAAGCAGGAATCACTGTCAGTCTGAGGATTTTAAGCACACATCTTTGCTTTGCACCAAGTGGTTTGCTGAGTGAAGCCAACCATACGATATACTAATCTCATTTAAAATTTTACTTTATGGGAAAAGAAAAAACAACCATACTAGCCTTAAATCACAGGTATGTGCCTTTTTATAAGATAATATTTTCAACCAGTGTACATAATGCAAAAACCCTTTCATGTAACGGTTGTCAGTTCCAACATGGGAAAGGAGACTGTATAAATGCTGTTTGTTTGTACACTTAGAGAAAGTAAAAGCTTTAGTTGACCTTCATGGACCGATAGTTTTGAGTGAGGAAGTTGGGCCAGTATGATTTTTCTGTTTAATTGAAAAGCATACTTCAGTAATGAGAGCGATGTGGAAGATACTTCTTTTTAATTTCTCTGTCTGTAGTGTAGTTCTTCCTCAAATGTAAAATTCTGTCATTTTTATCATATCCATTTTAAATTCAGTTTATTGGAGTCCTCATTTGCACGTTACATTGCTTTGTGTTCTATGAAGTAAAATTGAAATACTTCAGATACGTTATTTACAACTGTGTGGATTGTATGATTTATGTACTGTATGTTCAAATGCCTTTCAGCTGACATTCTTAAAGTAACAGAATTGTAATGTAACTGTAAATCAAACTTTTTAATCATTCCTCATTAAATTCTTGGCCTGACAGTCTTCTTTATGTTTTGATTCTGTCAGAATCTCTTGTAATAGTTAATTTACATTCCCCAGAATGTATATCCTCTGTGAATTTTGTATTCATATTAAAGATGTTTGCAGCCAAACTTCTTTGACTTGTGATGGTTAAGAGCACAACCCAGCTTCTGCAGCAAGAGCTCTATATTTGAGTTACCAGAAATTATTGGGTAGGGATGTAAGTCAGTAGGTTATAACAGCAATATTGTTCTTTTATTTTAGAATGGTTTAATAGCATGCAAGTTGAAGTTGAATGCAAACTCAAGGAAACAAATCCTTCAGTATTCTTGATTTTTAAACTTACAAAGATAACTTCATCGTATTTTACAGCTTAAATGAAGCTGCAAGTTTTCAGTTTTCTCTGAATCTTGGCGTGTGTATGGTATGATGGTACAAGCAAGAAGTTAACTGCATGATTGTACAGCTCAGATGGAAAGTGCAGATAGCAGCATCGGTGATGAATGCAAACCTATTGATTACAATTGAAATATCAGCCCTCAGTACATTGTAGGAAAGACATATATAGGGGGATATATAGGGATCACGTGCTTTTGGTTTCTTTGAAAGATTAACGGTGGCTTAAAACTGCTGGAGTCTCTTCACCTGGAAGAAAAGGTCGGAAAAGAGAAATTACTCACTAAAATCAGTTTAGTGTTTAATACCAGAGATAACGAAGAATGATTTCCGTTTTGCTCACTAAAGCAATTTTTAATTGATGGCCTCAGAGAGGAGAATCCTGTGTTCAGTTGGTGGATAAGGTACGAGCAACTTCCTTTTATAGTATGTGAATGGAGGTGAAGAAAGTTCAAATATATTATTTTGTATGAATTCTACAAACTGTTTTTCTACTCCAATGTGCAAATAAAATGCTCGTTAGCATACTTCATGCTTTATCAAGCCCTTACAAAGACCTCTGACTGCAAAGGGTATCTACAGTTATGTTTAAAGAGAAGTCTATGCAAGCAGAGCTCAGTAACACTGCTATCATTAAAGTAACAGCTTGATTCCAATCTTTTTAACAGATTCTCCCAACAACTTTATCTCTGTTCTGTCTCTGCTTCAAAAAATGATCAAAGTAATATAAAAACAAGGCTAAACATCCTCCTCACCTTCTCTGTTTTGAACTGAACTGGAGGCATGTTCAGTACATCTTCTCTGCTTATCTGCCCCAGCTCCTTACTGTGGTGTTAGAATGATAAAGTATCATTATTCAGCATTCCATATCTGCAATTACCTTCAGATTTTTGTCTGGTTATCTTTTTCATGCTGCATACTTGATAAGGAGGTTGTACCAGTCACTGTTTTCTTCATTAGTTGTTAATCTTTTCATGTTTTGTGATCACCCTTACCCTAAATTTATCCTGCTACTGGGAGGAAAGTTTTGTGAAATTGATTTTTTTTTTTTTCTGTGATATGCACAGAGGTGACTTGGCTGTTTTACTTTTCTCTGTTCATCTTGTTACTTGTCTTTGTAGGTGTAGATCACAGCTGCCATTATGGCTGTGATAACATATCTGAAGGGCGGGGATCTGACAGAGAACAGAATAAACCTGAAACAAACGTTCTGTTGGGGTTTCTTACTGTCAGAGGCAGTGTAAATGCATTGGCTCAGTCAGGAACAGTTCTGCTATCCACAGTGTGCTCCTATTTAATTGTACTCAACAAATGGTATGTCCTACTGTGCTAATTAAAATAGTAATTACACACCTTTATGCCTTTTAAAGAATATTGAATGTTGTAAATTCAAGTACTTGAGAATTCAATAGGACTAAAAACAAGCGTTGCCTGTTCAGTCTTGATTTGCCTTTCTTACCTATATGTATGCATCATGCTGGTTTTATAGTGATAGTTTTTGTTTTAAGAGGTTAAGTTATCATGATCATTAATTTTGAAACCAAATAGAATATGGTTTCCATGCATCTGAAGTGTGGCAATTGGCTTTCTCTCCTGCTTTTGTCCAGGCACAGTAGAATTGAGGGCTTGTAGCGAAGGTAACTACCTCGTTTGTTCAGTGGTATGAATTCTGTTCTTACAGCTAGATCAGTTTAATCACAAAATTCATCTTCAGCCTATAGCATTAGAAGCTCTATGCTCTGAAGGAGCACAGGGCTTACACAAGACTTTTTCTCCTCTAATAAAAAAGCGATGCATTAAAGTACCTAAGACATCTTGAGAACTGTCTTGAGTATTCTATTTAACAGGTAATTTTAAAATACTGACACTGGGACTTGTGTTTGGAGTGCGCCAGCCCATCACAATGCTATCTGTTCTAGGGAGGTGCGTTTGCTGCTTATTATAGGTGGGGCTCTCTGGTCTACCTGCTATTAAAGTTGCCCAATGCTTCCTACTGTGACGACCTGTTCTCGGCTGCTTGCAACTCTGAATTTTAGCCATGTGGGCAGAACTTTTGCAGGCTCTGTGTTTACATTTTTCTTGGGGGGGATTTTAAACTTAATTTGCTAACATTGTGTTTTAGAAAAGCTGGGAGAAAATATCCCGCAGGATAAAGGAAAGTTAAGGATTTAACTGCATGTCTGGCCAACCTCTTAATGCCCTGCTGGCGAGGCCTCGAGCTCTCGAGGAAGGTCAGCGCTGGCTGTGAGCGGGGCAGCAGCTCACCCTGCCACGGGGGGGCTGGGCTTCGTGTCTGGAAGCTGCGAGGGGCTGAAGGCAGCTCTCACGTGCGGCCTTCCGCCGCCATCGGCGGCAGCAGCGCTCAAGAAGGACGGTACAGCCGCATGGATGTGCTTTTGTGCTCCCGGCTCCGCTCCCCGGCCCTGCCAGAGTTCCTACGCTCCTCGCAGCCCGGCGCTTCCTGCCCGCGTGCGGATGGCAGCGGCCCGGCTCCCCAGCGGTCCCCGCTCCCCCTCAGCCGGGCGGGACGCAGCAGCCCGGCCGCGCTGTCACCTGCCGCGGCCCCGCCCGCGCGCGCGTGCGCGCAACCCCGCCCGCTGCCCTCGGCTGCGCTCCGGCGGCGCGATGCGAGGAGACGGCGGCGGGGCCGGCTGCGTGCTGCCGCCCGGCGGAGGTGAGCGGGCCGGGGCCGCGCGGCGGGGCGGGGGGCTCCGCGCTGCCTCCTTGCCGCGGTTCCGAGGCTGCGGCGCGGGGGCGGCCGTTGAGCGGGGCGGGGTGCCGGGTGCCGGCGGGCGGCGCTGCGCGGCCGCGGGGGCGAGGGCGGCGCCGGGCCCGGCCGTTGGGGCAGGGCGAGAGGGAGCGGCGGGCGCGGGGCGCCTCGGGGTGCCGCAGCCGTCCTACGTCCTTCCGTCCGAACAGCTCTCCGCGCCGCCGCTCCGTGCTCCGGCACCTCGGCACCGAGTAAGGGCGTCCTCGGGCAGCGGGGTTCCGCGCGCGGTCTCGGCCTCCTCCTAGGAATAGGGTGAGCGAAGCGGCTGGGAGCGGGAATCCATCCTTTTTATTACCAATAAAGAGGAGCTGGAGCCGCGCCCCCTGACGAAGCCCTGGCGGGGGGGGCGCTTCCCGGCCACGCAGAGCCGCGTGCCGCGCTCGGGCCGCGCGGTGCCGGCGGTGCGGCGCGGAGTCCCGCGGTGCCGGGCGCCCCGCCGCCCCACCTGCGCGCCCCTGCCTGCCCACGCGCGGCTCGGCCGCCGCCGCCTTCTTAAGAAGCGAATTGCTTCGGTCTTCTGATCCGAGGAGAAAGTTGTTCCCACGGCGCGTTTTCCAAGTTAGATGAGGTTGCCTGAAACAATGAAACGAAATGCTGCTTTTATGCCAAATACGGGCACGGTTGGGAAGTGCTGTGGCTCCTCGGGCTGCTTTGGATAACAAGCACCGAAGAGGTAGAGAAGCGTAATTGAGAGCTCTCAAACGTTTGGTCTCGGGTGCCTTTCTTCCCTTCGATCTGAAGGACGCGAAGGGGACCCTCGGCAGGCAGCTCTGCAGAGCTCCGTGCCCGCCGTGGCTGGCACCTGCAGAGCGCCGTCCTGCCACCCGCGTCTCTGCCTGAAGGCACGGCGGGGTGCCGCTGTGTGTGCCGTGCCTCCGGAGCTGCCTTCCCTCTGCCGCGTCCCGTTCCCTGCTCCGGGCTGGCAGCTGCCTCACCTAAAGCGGAGCAAGGCTTGAAAACAGCTTTCCTGCTTTATCAGCCTTCGCATCTAGGTCGGGATGTTTTCCTGCCTGATGTACTCCTCTCCTTGCGCTAGGAATGTCCCTCGTTAACTCCGCAGCGCTCGGGCTGAGATCGGTCCCTTTCCATGGGGCTGCCTCTGCACGGGCGCGGGGATGGTGATTCAGCCCTCCGGCCCGACTTCCTCGGGGTTTGAGCCCTTTCTCCTCGAGATTTGTTGGAAATTTCCAAATCAGGCTCCCACACGTTGCCCGGGGGCATGGCAGGTCTGCCTGTCTCTCTCTTTTCTTTTTTTTTTTTCCTCTTAAATACGTGGGAACTGGAGTTAGGAATTAATAACTGTTGAATGCAGCTTTGTGTCAGTGGAAGACAGTGGATACGTGTTGCGTCCCGAAGTGAATTAAGAAAAGTTTTTCCAAGTTGAGTATTTCTTTAAATTAATGCAATGGTTAATTGCTCCGAGTGGTTAATTTCTTTCCAGCACCTTGCACCTGTGTTTTCATGCCTCTGTACCTCTGTGATGATGAAGCTGGGAGGAGAGGAATGAGCACAGAGCTCTGTAATAGCAGCTGGATATTAATGCTAATTTGAATTTGAAACCCTCTATCCTGCTCTGCTTTCTTTGTGGCTCTTCCCCTTTTTACCCTGCCATTAAAATGCTTTCCATCATTCCTATGGTTTAAACGTCACGCGGCTTCCATATGAGGTGAAAAAAGATGAGAAAATCCGAGGCGAGAAAGTGGAGTCCATTGCATTTTTGAGGAGAAAAAGTGAAGCGGATCGTTTTGTGTCAATTTCCATTGGCTTCAGAGAAGCTGTGCGTAGCTGAGGCCTTTGCAGATCAAGAGAGAATTTGCCCCGAGGGCTGTTTCGGTACCTGGCTCTGTTTGCTCATGAGCACCCTAATGATGGATCTCTGGCAGAAATAGCAAAGGTTTTCGTCACCATTATCGGATGTCAAATTGATCGGGACTGCCATTAGCTCCTCGTGAGCACCGCTCAGTAGACACGTAGCCAAACCGCTGCCAGACCTCTGTGCTGGTGCCAGGGCATGACTTCAGCTTTTTCTGGCGAGTTTTCTGTGATTGCTTTGTGCTCAGCGACTTTCCTTGTCCGGGTCTATCTCAGTTTCCATTGTGAGACATCTTGTTTTGGTTCATTTCGTTTTTTAGTAAATCCTCAAATGTTTTTGAGCTAACTTGAATGTTTTCATAAAACATCCTTCATTAGTCTGCGTATGAAATCTTGTCGTTTTTCTCTGAAAGGCATAAGGGAAGCGAAGCTGGCAGGTGCAGCTTGTCAGGATTGTGCCTTTTACAGAAGTTGGATTCTTACTTGAGAGTTTACTGCCATCGGCAGTATCTTTGTTTGGTAGGTGGCAGTGTGAGAAAACCGCTCAGAACGGTTGTTATTCCTGTTCTGCTGCTTCGAGAGGGAACCTAGACATGTAAAACCCTTGCCAGCTGTGGAAAGCTCTGGTGCTGGGCAGTTCTTTCTCTGCTTACTGCACTCGCTCTGGCAACCTGGGTGCTGAAATCAGCAATGAGGGGCAACTTTGTCAAGCTGATGGCTATCCTGCCTGATTTGTGCCGTGTTTTCGGTGCGGCGGGCAGCATGCAGTCACTGACCCAACTTCCCTGTTCGTTGCTGCAGGCTGTGAAGATGCTCCGCCAGCAGAGTAGCGTGTGAAGCAGTGTGACCCATGCTTCAGGCAGCCCCGCGGAAGTAGCGCTCTCTCCTCCCGGAGAGGCCTAACATGCATGTTATGAATTGTCTCTCCCTGGCCAATGACAAGGAGAATGGAGCTCTCTCGGTGGCGGCAGGATTGATGAGCGAGGACCCGCCGGCCGCCTCCCCGCCACCCCCGCCGCCATGCCCCCCAGCAGAGGCACCCCCTGCTCCGCCGCTGCCCCCACCGCCCCCTCCGCTGCCAGGGCCCGGCCTGCCGCTGCACCCGCAGCTGACCAACGGGCACGACAGCCACAGCAGGAAGAAACGGATGCGGAGTTTCTTCTGGAAAACCATCCCTGAGGAACAGGTCCGGGGCAAAACCAATATCTGGACGATTGCTGCAAGGCCACAGTACCAGATCGACACTAAGACAATCGAGGAGCTCTTTGGGCAGCAGGAGGAAACCAAGCCGCCAGACCCGAGGAGCCGGTCATTAAAAGCTTCGTTTAAAGAGACTAAAGAGGAGGTAAGAACCAAAGAAAAATCTCTTTTGCACAGTGATGTATGTAACGCCATATCTGGTGTGAATTCCGTCTGGCCTTTCTGTTGTACTTCGTTCTTACTGCAAATGTGTTGTGGTTTGAAGGGAAGGGGAACAACAGGGAGGACCAACTCTATTCTTGGTGGCACAGATCTGTTTTTCAGAGTGCCAACTGCTTTTTTTTTAATTGTAACTGGGTAAGTGCTGCCGTCTGGTCTCTTGTTTAAGTATATGGAAGTGAAAGGAGCTGAAGGTGCTTTATTTAATTTTTTTGGAGAGCTCTTGAGCTTTTGGTGTGAAATGTGTGTGTTGCAGTCTTTCTCTTCAGCTCTTCATAGAATCATTAAGGCTCGAAAATACCTCTTAGATCATCTAGTCCTGTCCTCAACCCATCACCATCATGCCCACTAACCACGTCCCTCAGCGCCCAGATGGCACTTCCACAATGGCTGTTGCACAGTCAAATGCAAAAGTATGAGGCGGGAGGGAGGAGAGTCCAATGGCAAGGGTTAATGTTATGTGTACTGTATATGTCAAGGGGGGAAGTACTGAAATGACAACAAGGAAATAAAACGTAATGCAGTGGTTAAGGGAATTTGCTATCTAATTGGGATAATTGTAAAGTTTCAACTTTCATAAATGTAGCCCTCCTGCTAGCGAATGCCTTATTGCATCTACTGTGCTTTTTTAGGACTCAGAAGTAACCTTGACTTTGCAGTGTGACCAGAAGACTGCTTTCTGGTCTGGTAGGGAGGGCTGTATTCCCAATGCTTGCTGTTCAAATGCTCCACAGTGTGCTGAGAAGTGACTTTTCTAGCTCCCAAATTCTGACTTAAGGGCAGCCTCTTTGTGAAGGCTGAGCCAGATTGTCTCAAGTGATCTTTCTGCAAAGTAATTGGGGAATAGAAATGTAGATTTAATCACAGATGTGTGTCTCTATGCATGTTTGCTTATAAACAGAGAGCAGAGGGCACAGGGTTAATAGGCATGACAGTTTTTAGTGAAAAAATAGGGCCTGCAAGTGGATGGTATCTTGCAGAATTTGGAAGACAGCAAAATAATCAGTAAGGGTTAGGTGAGAACTTGGTGTGCTGATGGTGTTCCGGTTGTACACAATGATAATAGGAGATTTAAGCAGGCGTGTGTACTGCAGCCTCTGCAACCCTGACATCAGGAAGAGGTAATTGTGGCCATCACCAGAGGTAGTCATTAGCCCGCGTGCGGTGCTCAAGATGTGTGCATCTTGGAGTCAGACTGCGGTGAGTGGACTTCCTGCACTGCATGTGGATGCACATCCATCCACGGGTGCTTGCTGTGAAGCACCTGCCCCCATCCAGGGCTGACATGTGCTGAAGATCTATATTAGAAATGATAATAAATTTCATTAACTGAACGTGGCCTCTGGTGTACAGTAGGTGGAGGCAGAGAAAACCCCAGTGTGCTCCAGAACTTGTGTACATCTTGAAGCTGGGGGTTCCCTGGGGAGAGTTAGAGGAAAAAATTACAGGTCTGCAAAATATGTGCTTTCCGTGGATGTGGTTTCCAAGGTAGGACCCCATGGAGCCAGACCCCTGCCTTGTTACAAGTTAATGCCTTTCTGCACGCATCCGGAGCTGATGCAGGGGACTCAGGCATGCATGTGGCTTGATGCCTGCCTGGCCCATCACAGGGCTGCTGCTGGCAGATGGCAGGCAGAGAGGCAGAGGATTTGCCTCTCGGCGCTGATTGCGCTGCTAAAGTGACAGAGTGCTCAGCTCCCTTGTTGAGCATGCCACAACAGCGTGTCTGACAGCGATGAGCAATGCCTCGAGTGTTAATGGGCTTTGCAGTGCTAGCAGCTTAGTAAGGAGGGAAGGAGATAATCCCGAAGAGCCATGTGTCACAGCAAGTGTGGAAGCACAGCTATGCAACAGCTTGCGTGTTACTGCGGCCATCATTCAGCACCACTATGGAGATTGGAGCAGACACTTGTGATTTATGTCATCTGGCAGTGCTACGGTGGTGACCCTGGGCTCACTGGGAAGCTGGGAAGGAGCTGAGGTGTGTGTGGCATCAGTGTGATCTTGTGGGCAGAGTAGGAGGTGGTGGTTCTTCTGTGGGTTGTGTCACTGGCCTGACAAGGGAAGGTGGGGGAGTTGTTTTGTGTCTCAGCACCTCTCGTCATTTTGTGTAAAACACAGTTGATTTTAGAGAGTGCTTTATGGTCTAGCAACAAAAAATGTTCTTCAGAGATCAAGAAGGGATGTCTTTAAACTAAAAGAGGGGAGGTTTAGATTAAATGTTAGGAGAAAGTTCATCAGAGGACTGTGAGGTCCTGGCACAGCTGCCCAGAGAAGCTGTGGTGCCCCATTGCTGGAGCTGCTCAAGGCCAGGCTGGATGGGGCTGGAGCTGGTGGGGGGAAGTCCTGCCCATGGCCATGGGTGAGCTTTGAGGTCCCTTCCAACCTAAGCCATTCTGCGATTAGTCTAGTTGCCATATTATGTCAACAGCAAATTTTCACATGCCTAAATTGAAGACTTCTCGGTTTCAAACCTGAAGAATATCTGTCCAGCATGATGCACCTGTGTGTGGGCAGAACCTTTGCTTCCCTGGCTCCTTGCTCTCTGTACAGCAGTGTCTCTTCAGAGGGAGCGGTGAAGATGGACTCTGCAGTCAGTGCTGAGGGTTCCCCTGGAGACAGAAGGGAAATGGGTTTCGTGCCTCCTGCAGAGAAGTCATGCAACTGTGGGCAGTTCTGGAAGAAGCCTTCTCTTGTAGGACTTTACAGAACTGCATGTCCTTTTAGTTCCTGACTCCCTAGTGCTTTACACAGGCAGATGCGGTACCTACTTCAGGTTTTGGAGTTCTGGAGGCTCAGTACTAAACATCATCATTATAACAGAAGCCTCTTTGAGATTTGAGACTCACTCCTACAACACACTCTTTCCTTTCCATAAACAAGCTTTCCCCAAACCCTTAGGAGATTAATTAACATGTTTCCGTAAGTAAGAGCTTAATTTGCCCCTATGGTTTCACGTAATTTGAGTCTGAAAAACAGGGGATGTAGAATAATGTTTACACACCAACTGCAAATTACTTTCCCCACGGTTGGGAGCAGTGCAGCACCTGCTTTCCCAGGTTGCAGCCAGCCTGGCAGCGGGGAGCAGGAGGGCTGGTGGCCACCCAGTGAGCTGCACTGCCCTGCGCCAGCCCTCAGCTCCAGTTCCTCATCTGTGTGCTGCCTTTGGTCATCGTTGGGCCCTCTGTGAACTGGTCTGCTGCTCGGTACCATACTCTTGGGGATTTTTGTTTGTTTTCTACTGGAACATATTTCTGCTGTTTTAGTGTGATTTGGTGGCTTGCAGAAGGGTCCCGTGAGCTGCAGAGCCTGGGTGCTGGCACTGGCACTGAAGGTGTGTATGAGAAGGAGATAGGAGTAGACTTTCTCAGAAGCTGAGGTCATGTTTGAAGGGTAAAAAGGACTTGGGAGGAAACAACGTGCGGGCAGCTTTCTGCAAGGACAAATTGAAATGGACGTTCAGTGGGGAAGCTTCTAAACCTGGCAGGCAGCATGGTGCTGTGGAACATGAGTGGAAAGTGCTGTGCTTTTGTGCACAGATAGGAGCATGTATTTATGGTGTACCTGCTGAGTCCCCCCCTCACATTGTCCTCACATTCCCATCTGGAAACTTCAGGAAGACAGCGAAGTAATGTCAGCTTTTCCAAACACTTTTGATAATCTTAAAGTGGACACCAAGTAAGGAATGACTAAAAAGTGAGCCGTACACTTATTGATTGTGTGCTTGAACTAGAAAGTATTAAAACCTAGAGTGCATACCCAGAGCAAAAAGGCTGACAGGTTCTTGTTCTTACGGTAAAGACAGTTCTGACGTGTTGTGCTGATAAGGCAAATTCAGCTGTATGTGTTAAATCTGATCTTTATCTTCAAGGGAAGACATGAAAAAATTCTCTAGATTGATTTGAGGTTGTCCCATACACCTGAGCAGTGCCATGGAAAGCAGGAGTTTTCCCAGTTAGTGGGGTGGTTAGTGACTGCAGGTATGTGTATTAATTCTGAATATGCTTAAAGAACAAAAACCAAGCCCAAAGCTAAAATGACAGTGGCAGAACTTGCAGGCTTAAACTAGTACCGGCAAATCAGAGCATTTGCAATGAGCAGAACAATTAGAGGCTGGGGCTGCAGAGGTCACTGAGAGGTCCCTGCATTTGAAAAAAGATTAGAATACTGTGAGGGAAGAGATAGCTGAACCTGCCCTATGTAAGGGGCTTTCCTTAATGATCTGGGGGCCTCTCAGTTCCCGAGATAAGAAGAGAGTAAACCACAATCTATCCTCTTTATCTTTGCAAATGCTGAAATTGAAGGGTTTCAGGCAGTTAGCTAATTGAAACTGTTCTAGTAGGAATTATCTAATGGAATACTCTCATGTTTCTTGTGTTCTCCAGTCTTTACCAGTTTCAAAAGAGAGGAAATTCCAACATTTTGGAAAACTTTGGAATTAGGTTCACTTATTTGCAGCAGCTAAGGAGGCTGTCTCCTAGAGTTATGCTGTAATACGTTGGGGATAGCACATGAACCATACCTACATTTTCACTGACACCAGCTGACTGCAGGCTGGTTCAGTTCCATGACATTGCCACAGACGTATTTCTAAGCCTTACCCTGTCACAGAGGTCAAAGCACCTTTCTGCTTGTCAAAACCTCAAACATCATGTGAGCCCACCAACAGTCTTGAACATCTTTGTGTACTGAGTTGATTTATTGTAGCAGTCGGGTGGTACTGTCAACATGAAACAGTGCTCTTGTCCTCCTAAACCTCATGACTTTTGTAGCTGTTGCCACAAAATAGCTCTGACCGAGTTAACCTTAAAGACACGATTCTTTAAAAGTGCTTTACATCTCAGGTTTTTACATGTGTGCTGTTAGAATAAGAAAAAGTCTTTTTCTCTGGTGAATCATTAGTGTGGAGGGAGGCTACTATTTTACTGTGGGCTTCTGGTTTCATTTTGGATAAAGCACCCAGATTTGAATGTCATCTGTCTGAGGTTTTGATTTGGGATTGAATGATTTATTTTTCTGTTTGCTCAACGTGACTGTTGATGTGAATTAAATCAGGGGTGTGTAGAGAAAGTCCATCCTTATATTTGTTGCATAATTCCTGAAATACAAGGATTTGGGCGTGTGATGCCAGCTGACTGCATGGCCTTCAAATTCAGTACAACGTATTCCCTGATGAGAAATGTTTTGTAGGTACAACATTATGAAATAAGCAGGAATGGGTTTTGCTTTGTAATGAATTTGATTCCTTCCTTCTATAAGTGTTGTTATGTTTTTACATTTTGCTTGAGAAAAGGCACTGTGGGTGGGCAGTATATTTCCCAGGTTAAAAAAAAACTGGTTCTGTAATACGTGGCCTTTGTTGCTTAGAAATCACTCTGTAGTCATTTTGCTTGTGATTTGATGATAACCATGTGCAATTATCTGTTGCATTTTAAGGAATGACACCTGCATTATGTGCTCTTCGCTTAGGTATTGGTTGATGAATCTCTTTTTCTCTCTCTCAGGTTTCCATTTTGGATGCAAAACGGAGTATGAACATTGGGATATTTCTCAAACAATTCAAAAAGTAAGATATGTTTTTTTTCCTTGGTGCTAGTGCAGATTAATGTGGAATTCTCTGTAGCTGTCATCAAATGTAGAGTATATTGTGCTGTGTTCTTACAGAGTTAGCAGCTCTATGAGAGTTGTCATAAGAGACTACATCTTGTAAATTGTGTGCTAACGTGTTTAGCTTTGAGTGCCATTATCATTTAGCCCCGAACATCCAGGTTTTGCTGTTGTTAACCAGTTGAAGTGAGTTTTCAGGTGCAGTTAAATGAATCCCGCATATATCGTGTAATACTGCATGAAAGCTTCTTTTCATTGCCTTTATTTCATTATAAAGAGTTAGTTAATAAAAAAGGGGTTTGTCCTGATTTCAACTGGGACAGGGTTAAAAGAGAGGTGAGGATTTTTCTTTTCAAGAGTAAGCTTTTTCAATGCTATCTTTATTCACTGTTGTTACCCTCTTGTAAAGGCATCACTGAAAGTGGTGTTAGAATAATACTACTGTGAACACCATTACTGATAACCTCATTATAGTCCCTTTGAGTAGCACAGGCATGGCTTGTTTTTTTTTCAATTTATGTGACTATTTGCCCTACAAGAGTTAGAAATGTGAATGTTCCGTTGTTTTTTCCAGGTCTGCTGAATCCATCATTGAAGATATCTATCATGGAAGAAGTGAGCCCTATGCTTCTGAATTGCTGAATGAATTCCTTAAATTATTACCAGAAGCAGAGGAGGTAAATGATAATTTTACATGGAGCTTATTTTCTTTGCAGAATTCTATTGCCTGGCATCCCAACATGAAGTGTTTTATTTTGATGTAAAGTCATCTTGAGTTCAGGTGTAGGAAACTACCGAGCGCTGAGATTTAATCTTCGTTTTACACTTGATATGGAAGTTGCAGCACAGTTGTTCCCTTCACATCTAGTAACTTCTCCTTCTTTTGAGGCACTGCTTAAAGCCCAGAGAGGCTGTGGATGCCCCGTCCCTGGAGGTGTTCAAGGTCAGATTGGATGGGGCCCTGGGCAGCCTGGCCTAGTATTTAATGTGGAGGTTGGTGGCCCTGCATGTGGCAGGGGGTTGGAGATTCATGATCCTTGAGGTCCTTCCAACCCTGGCCATTCTGTGATTCTGTGAAAGTACTGCTGGGGTACTTTTGTTTCTCTGATGTCCCTTGTGAGCTTGTGTCCCTTAAATATTTTACCAAGAATTGGAACGCTCCTGGGTGCAGAGTAGAAAACTCAGAATCAAAGTATATTCTAATGCAAACAAATTAAGCTTTATTTCTTTGGCATCTGCCTTATGGTTCCCTGTTGCATATGAGCTGAGTATTAGCAGCCCTCTGCTATTCTCTCTTCTGGTTTGCTGCTTGTTTGGTGCATATGGGATCTCTTGGCTCCTTGGCTTGGATCAGTGGGTTCTAACAAGAGCAGAAAGGCTTCTCCTCTGTGCAGCAGCCATAGAACTTGCAAACATTGCTCAGTGCTTCAAAGGTTACCTGGTAGCAGATATAGAATGACCAGCAGCACCTTCTGCTCTGTCCTTAGGCCATGATACCGCGCAGATACAAGTCCTGCTTTCTCCCCTCCCGGTCCCACCCTTTAAGCCCATTCAGATGACTAAGGAGGTGAAGCCCTGCTTAATGATGCACAGTTCCTTGTCTGTTCATGTATTTACACTGACCCATTAGTACATACTCGAGAGAAATGTATACCACAGATTTGAGAAAATTAACATCAGAATTGCTTGTTTGCTTCACATCAAAGCAGTGACTGAAACCCGGGAAATTGCTAGTTAACATCCACTCATAGATCAGCCTCAATGCACACACACTTTACCACTTCAAGGTCATACAGTCCAAGGGGTGTTTCCCCTGTGCAGCAGCAAATCTCAGATCCAGTCTGACACAGAGAAACTGTCTAGTGTATTGCCCTAAATTGAGCTGTTTTTGCAAGGAATCTCATAAGAAAGAAAAATAAGTGTTATCTTGTTCTCTTAATGTTTTTTTGTTTTTGTTTTTCTTAAAGTTGGAGGGTGTCAGCAAGTATAAATGTAATCTGAAAAAAGGAACGGAAGTGATTTTGGGAATTCAAACTGTTCAGCCTCTCCCCTTTGTTTGAATTTCAGTGCATATTCCTATATTTAAACAGTTTATTTTCTTCCTCTTAAAGAGACAGGCAGAGGAAAACAGTGGAGCTTAAGAGAAAGTGACTCCTAATTAACTGTGTTTTGAGCAAAATAGACTGAAAGGAAGGTATATTTTATTCTTTTCCTCTTTCTGATTTAGAGTTGGTTATTATTTTAACACAAGTAGAAAACGTTTTGAAGAGCATGCTCCAGTATGATATAAGTGTTGCATTTCCTATCTGGCGACTTGACAACAAGCCTACCCATCAAGATAGTGGGTCCAGAGCACTTAAGAAGTTCTTTCATGGAGACATTTGATGAATGAATAGATTTTGTGGCATAGGGGAGTATGAGAAACCACGGGGCATTAAGCATTAGATTTATTGCTGTTCTCAAGGGAAGGCTGAGAAGTTTGTTCCCAATGTGCAAATATTTGTATTGTATTTCATTAGTTCCATGCTTCAGAGATCTCTTCGCTCACTGTCAGGAAAAGGAAAGACCCCCTTCCCCACTGTTATTCTCGCTGTAATTGTTTCACTGTGAGCTTTGACTGCTTTGTGGAAAGCTCTGTGAAGCAGCACAGCTAGTGCTGGGGCAGGGCAGGGAGATGTCATGTGATGGACTGTTGCTGCCGTTGTAATAGAAAGGTGTTTCAGTGCCTTCATGTCCTCATAATGCAGTTGCTTGAAGTGTATGTGGGCCCTGTAACTCATTTGCTACTTTGCTCATTTGCTATTTCCAGGAGCTCGGGCTCCTGGAATTTTAGTGTAGTCAGTTAAAAAAATCCTTCTCTTTAGATGCTTTAGAGCTTTTGTTGTTTGTCTTGCTGTTTTTTTTTTTTTCTTCTAAATTTATTTTCATCGTTCTCCTTCCATGCTTCCTTCTTTTTTGTGAGTTTATTGTCTGCCTCCTAATCTGAATCCTGGAATACTTATTTCCTGAAATACTTTTTCATGGTTTTTTAAGGGGAAGGCATCAGAATGGTACATACACGGAAACAATCCCAAATCTCTCAAGATATTAGATGAAAGTGTTGCTATTTGTCTGGTGTTCCCTATCTGGTTTAATAGTTCCTCAATTCTTTTTCATCTAGTAGTCCACATGACGTAGCTTTGGCACAGCATTGTCGTTGTTGTCCTACTGCTGGCATGTCCTGCAGAGCATTGCGCCTGTTCTCAGCCAGGTGTCTCTAGGATTACTCCTGAATACTTCCCATTCTTTTAAAGACCTGCTCTATTGTTGTAGGAGTTGAGTATAACTATGAGCAGAGCCCAGGCAGACAGATAGCTTTTATTTATTTACCAGTTCTAAACCTGCCTTGGTGTAACCATGGGTGTCCTTCTGCAGTTCCCCTTTGCATACTCATTTCAGCAGCTCAGCTATTTACAGTCACGTTTCCCAGCAGCACAGTTGTCTTGCAGGTTGGAATGAGGTCCAAGTACCATCTGCCAGGCATATGCTCCATCCTGATAGCAGTGTGTTTGGAGCTGTCTTCTTTCTTTTATATGTTGCTGTAAACCTTTGGTCTGACAAAGTGAAAGCAGAGAGGGAGGAGCACCATTCCTGGTCATAGCTGGAGGCAGGGCAACTCTGGACGTCTCATTCCTTCATTCTGACCAACAACCTTTGCAGTTTATCCAGTGTGGATAAACACAGCTTTATACTCTAATCTTATCTTATCTGGAAGTGTTATGCTATGAAGTCACATTACCTCAATGTTATCCCAGTTACTGGTTTGGCGTATGCGACCCATTTTACACCATTTCAGTCCATATTATCTCACCTGGCACAGGCATTCCAGTGTCTTTGAGATGAAACAGCCTTTTGAAAATGGGAGCTAAATATTCAGGCAAGCAAATAGCCTTACCATCTGTTGTCTTCAAGATTATTCTTTTTGAAGTATTGTACTGTGGCAATTCTTTACATGTAGGAATGGGTGTCAGTACTGGGAATTTTCTGCTCTTTTCTTAGCCATGAAAACTGTTGGGATGGTTGTGTGTAAATGGCAAAAGAGGTTCTTTGCTGGATGTCTTTGTCCATTATTAAAATATTGGCAGTGCTGTGAAGCCCTTCTGTCACACTGAAAATGCTGAGGTATTTTCAGATGTTTTAATTTAAGAACTTGACAAGTTCTTGAAGCTGGCAAACCCAGATCTTGCTACAGGGTTCCATTCCATGTTTTGTTTGGGGCTGTGAATGGCACCAGAGCAGCCACAGTAGAGTGGTTAAAAAAATAGACCAAGGAGAGGTCTAAACGTTTCTTGATATGCCCACTGTTACTGTGAGCCTTGTTAGAAATCCTGCTGTTTGTGCCTTACCGTGATTAGCAGTTTTGTAAGAGGAGGAAATGTCTATTTGGAATCTCCTCTGCTTAATCTTTTTTCCAGCACCTACTGTTTTCCAAGGAGCCTATGTCGTAGCTGAAGCAACAGCCTTCTCTGATGTGTGACTTCTGAATAGATTCCTAGATATGTCTTTTAATTGCCTCCTGTCAGAACAGCTGACAGCTGTCACTTATTGGCATCCTTTCCAAAGCAGAGAAGCTTTTATTTGCACATCATTGCACTGTTCAACAGGCCGAGACCGGAAAAAGTTGAGGGAGTCCAGTGTTTAATAAGCTAGAATAGCCAGAATTTGTATTTTAAATATCCAATGTGTTATACTGCTTATCAGCTCACCCACAATGCACACCCAGGTTATCAGCTCTTCCTTCACAGTGTTTCAAGTCTGTCCTTTGCTCTTATATTCCATTTTAAAACCCGAGTCATCTGTCATCTGCTCTACTGGACTGGTTTCTGTCTGTCAGCTCTACACTTTTTGTGCCATGTTTGTATAATAACCGTCTCCACCTTCTTTATTCAGACAGTGGTGTATATGGCTAGCCATCCTTCACATTTTTTATTCCTGCTTCCTTTTTTCACCCTTTGTTAGCTACAGGTTTTTTTCAGTTTGTGTTTACCATTAGCTGATAGAGGTCTGCCACTACCTGGGCATAAGCCTTGTGGTGTCTCACCACCTCATACATTAGCTGCTTTCCCACGTGCCCTTGTATTTTAATCTCTCAGTGATTCATTCTTGAGTTTTGGTGTTTTTCATTTACGTTTTTGTCTATGCCCATAAGTATTTGCAATCGTATGGAAGTAATACAAAACAAAACAAAGTCACCACACTCAAAACCAACAACAGGGAACGTGTTTACTCCTCGGGACCATTGCACTTGCCTTTATTTATTTTTAATATGGGAATCATTCTCTTACTTGGTTGGCGTGTGGGGAGTTACTTATTTATGGGCAGATACAGGGATGAGTTTTGTGCTAACTTATAGTCTTCTTCAGAGATAGTGGGTCTCTGGTTGGGAGTGCAACATACCTGTTTTGTGCCTGTAAGTTAAATCTTGCTGCTTGTAAGTGAGTACTGCTGGTAACTGAAAAATATCTGAGAACATGAGAGGCAGGAGTGCAGTAACTTTTCTATCTGTGAGGAATTATGACACATTTGCAATAGACATATTTACTCCAATTACAAATCAATTAAAAGGTCAGGCTTTCAGTATTTCATAACTGCTTTTAGAATGAGGCAAATTACTTACGTGAGAAACCTCCTGTATCTAAAATCTGACTTAATGTGCACGGGCATGCATGGATAGTGCGCATGCTTTTTCCATATACAAATATAATGAAAAAAATAAATTAGTAGCTCTGTGCCCAATTTGAGTAATACAGAGCTGAGCATACAATATAATCAGGCATGTATGCATTACACCTTTGTATCTTGTTACGTGGTTGCTACTGTTGTGGAAAAGATTATGTTATGCTTGGTGAGAGGAGGTCAAGGCTAGAAAAGTATGAGTTATTCATTGTAATTTTAAAATAAACCACATTTTTTTAAGCTCTTTTGTGTTCTTGCACTAATTATAAACCTGTTTTATCTTTTAACATGATTAATGACAACATTGTTGTCAGTACCCATAGTTTCTTAGCACTTCCTAGTCGTGGTTGGTATCCCACTCGTAGGAGCCATTGGGGAATCTTGGTTCTCTTTAGGAAGAACTAGACAACATGTCTGCAGAGAGAAGAGGCAGGTTCCATGGGCTTTTGTGCAGCCTCCCTTGGAAGATAAAGGGCAGCTATCCAAAGGGCATTTGAGTCATTTTTAGCTTTGGGGTTCAAGAAGTTGTTTGTTTAGTTTTATAGGTAGTGTCAGTTAAGTCATGTAACTGTTTATTTTCTGCTTCCTGATGGAAGAGGTGGAAGAACTGATCTTTTTCGATTGTGAAATCTATGGTAGGGAGGAAATGCACACAGATGATAGGATGAGAAGGAATGGCCTTAAGTTGTGCACCAGGGGAGGTTCAGGTTGGATATTAGAAAACATTTCTTCTCAGAGCAGTGAGACACTGGCACAGTCTGCAAGGACAGGTGAGGGAATCACCATCCCCAGAGGTGTTCAAAACATGTGGATGTGGCACCGAGGGACATGGTTAGTGGGTATGGTGGGGATGGGGTGGTGGCTGGACTAGGTGATCTTAGTAGTCTCTTCCAACCTTAATGATTCTGAAAAAGTTTATCTACCTGGCCTTAGCCATTCCCTTAAGTATTTACAGTTTTAAGATGGAGTTAAGATAGGATTCAGTCTCACATCCAGACAATTTAAATGCAAGAAAGACCTTATAAATCACTTAACTCATCTACCTTTTTTTAAAATTATTATTATTAATAATTTTATTTTATTTTTATTCCAATCAGAAGGCAGCTGAGTTAATGTCTTTCATTTTGCTTGTATCAGCAAATTCCTCTGGGTGGATTCCAGGGATTAGACTCCTTCATATCTCTCCGGGCGTTCTTCCTACTATGGATTGGTAGAAAGTGAATTTCATCCAGTGTCCATAAAATGCTACAATGTTCAAATCTCAGGAAACAAAGTTCACGCTATACCATTAACATTTCACATAGATAACATTGCTGGCTACTTACTATCAAAAGTAAGTACTGTCAAAATGTAAATGTATTACAGGCAGCATGAGTAAGTTAATATTTATATGAATATCTCAGGACTTTTTTTTTACTTCTTGTGCATTTAAATCTTAAAATGATATCTTTCTATAAATGACTGTGGTTACCTGATCATGATCTTGGTGATTTGCAGGTGGTGTTTGCTTCTTTTCTCTTTTCCCTTTAAAACCTAAATGCTTGTGTCATCTTAAGGCAAACTTTTGTTTTTGCAACGTTTTCAATTAAAGTCAGATAATTTGCAGGTTTTGTTGCTAAGGAGGTAGACCACTGTTTTTTTTTGGGAAGGTTAAAGAACCACGTGCAAAGCTCAAGATATCTACTATTTCTCATCCACCACTTCATAATGGAGGGAAAAAGTGTTTGTCTTGTTTCTCGCGTGTTTTAACACCTTAGAAATATCAAGGATGTCAGGTCTGGTCTTTCCTGTTTTTTGTTGGCAGGCTTCTTGAGTGCCTCTGTTAATTAGGACTTTTCTCAGGCCTCAAATAAATGGCATGCAGTTTATCTGTAGAAGGAGCTTTTGTCTGAGTATCTTGAGTTAAATGGCAGGTAAGGAAATCAAGTTAGATAGTCTGAATAAAAATAGCTCTTTTGATTAGAATTCTCTTTTTCTGTCACTAGTGGGTTGGTTTTTTTTATTGATTTGTTTTAAAGTATGAAAAGGAAGTTTTATTATTCCAGATCCAATTTCCAATTTTTGTCTTCTCTTTACTAATACGCTCTCAAAAATTATATTATTTGTATGGTATGGAAAAAGAGTATAAATGAAGCAGGACAAAGTGATTTAAGAATCTTTTTATTCTTCTATTCCAGAATTCATCTTAAATTTCTGACTTAGTATAGCATGTTGTCTTCCATTATAATTTCTTTTTTTTTTTTTTTAATTTTTAACACCGTGAAAACAGAAAAATAAATGATTAATTTGGAACCTGATGTTTAAAAGAACTCATGGGTATCTTGCTAAGTCTGAGCAGCTAGAAAACTACTGATGTCCTGATGTAGTGTTCCTGAATATGCTGTACCTGAATATGCTTCCTCAAACTGAAGCCCATCTGGATGGGCCTTAGGCGTAACACTTTGAAGGGGAAGGATGGTGAGCTAGTGTGTAGATCAGTGGAAATGTATAACTCATAGTGGATGTGGAGTTGGTTAGATGAAGAAATAGCATAACTGTGAGTGAGCTCTGCTTTGGGATTTGATTGCTGTGTTGGGAAATGTGGAAGAAATCCCTGTTATACTTAAATATATGTGCATATATTTCATTTCTTTGGTATAAACAAATACTAAGTACGTGGGCAGATGAGTGGCTTGCAGATCATGCAAATATATGGATTTTGGTGGAGCTAGGAGGGAAGATTGACAAAACGAACGCACTGATATTTCCTTAAAATGTAAATGTTATTCTCAAAGCACTGACCACAAAGAACTTCAAAATGCAGCCTTGCATTTATTGTTAAAATATTTCGTGGGAATGAAAAAAAAAAAGCAAGCCCAAAAAAATCAAGAGCATGAAGTTTTACCTTTTAAGGGAGTTTTAAAGGAGATGGTTGAATCAAGTGTCTGGGAGACAGCTGCACTGTGCCAAAGAGACCTAGGCTGTCCTTTGCTGAAAATGCTGAACGCAGTTTACTTTAAAATACACCCAATACTTCAGGATATGCCCAAGTGTATATCATAGTTGTTGGAGAGTTGAGAATCATTTTTCAGATCATCACTTAAGCAGCTGTTTTCTGACAGAAAAAAAAAATTCAGCTAGAGAACATCAAATGGACCAGTGAGAAAGAAAAGAGCCAACTTTCTTGGGGACACTGGCAAGTGGAGTGTCCTAAACGTAGCGAAGAGGCCAGTCATTCTTTTTTACGCTGAGTGAATGTGAGTATGAAGGAATAGCTGGGGACGTGGATGAGTGACAGAGTGATGGCACCAGGTTTATTTCATCAGATTATTTGGCTAGGTTTGTAGGAGGAGAGTGATGTTACTGGTTTTATTATTTTTTTTTTTTTTCTGATTACCATGTGTGCAAATTACAGGACTTTGGGCAGTGAAATCATTGAGCAGACTCTCTCAACTCTTGCTAAATTTACTATTTTTCTGGGCGTTTCCTTCCAGAATCAAGTTAATCTTGATCTTCCATAAGACTTTTTGCTAGTGTTTTTTTTTCTTTTCTAGGTGAAGAAATTAAAAGCCTTTGATGGAGATGTATCAAAACTGTCTCAAGCCGATTCCTTCATGTATTTACTAATCCAGGTGCCAAAGTAAGGAGATAGTAGGTTTATTCTGTTCATTATGTATTTTCTTTTGGCTGTCAGTTCTAAACCTGTTTGTTTGTATGCTCCAGCTATGCTCTTAGGATTGAAGCCATGGTGTTAGAGAGGGAGTTCTCACCCTCCTGTGCTTCTCTACAGGATGACATGAAAATTATAAGACAGGCAACAAAAGGTAATTAAGCATGTTGGGACATGTATAATACTCTTGTTTTTGTTAGCATGTTAATTAGTCTGCATTATGAAGACGAGAGCTTGAATTTCAGGTACCTTGGCTATTAAAAAGAAGCTAACTCCCCTCTGACAAACGCTGTCAGGGTGTGCCTGGTGAATCTTTGCTTCCAAAATAAAAAATCCAGAGACCTTGGACTCACTAGTTCGTGACCAAAGACTACTAACACTGTATCTCATACCAACAGAACCCAAGGTGTCCATGACTAAAGTAGGACAAGCCATTGTCCTTTGACTGCAGTTTGCTCATTTGTGGGTCGCTGACACTGTGGCTGACTCCAGTCATTACACTTCTTTGCTCACATTCAGAGATGTACAAAGAAAATCACTGTATAGTTTTGAAATTTCTCTATATGCAGTTGCCTTTTGAGATTGCAGTATTGATGCGCTACAATCTTTATTGCAGAGATTTAATCCTATTGCTGTTCCCTTGCTTTCTGTTTTTGTTGAATTCATATTCTCTGCATTTCACAAGCTTTGGAATGCTCTAATTGGTTATTCCTAAGGTACGCTGGTGTCTTCTACTCTGCATGATAATTACTCATTTCCTAATTTCATTTATTATTAATACTAAACTTTTCAGACACCTTGAGTTACCTATTTGTCCTTTTCCTCAGTATGAAAGTCCTGCTTCCTGCTGGTAAATTCAGTGATATTATCTAAACTACTGCTAGTAGGGCAGAAAGGCGCAGTAGTAAAAATAATTCAACTATGAGCACTCGTGCTTAGGATAGTCATTTCTAGTGATGGAAAAGGGGAAAAAATCTGTTGTGTTCTTCCCATCAGTGAGGATTGGACTGGTCCTTCCTGTCTCAGGAAAGCATCCCTTACCTTAAGCTGAGGTTTGAGTTTGGCCTTTTATTGGGAGCTCATTGAAATTGTTGTACTTTGTTTTGAGCAACAGACACATGTGATGGAATATGTTATGTATTAAAGCAGCCGCACCCTATTGTCCTTCACGTCCTTCACCCAGGACATTTGGGAACTGATGAATTCATTCCCTCCAGACGAGACACCTTGGTCTCCAACTCCTTCATCAGGCCAGTCATGCAAATCAGACTGTGCTTCCCTGTTTTGAGTCCACTCAAACTCATGTGCACTTCTCCATTTGCCCTTTGCACGTCAGGGTTTGTTGATAGCCTAAAGTTGTTTAGGAATTCTGTCTACTTTTCTATTCCTATCTACCAGGTTTCTTTCCTTGTAATTAAGCTGAGAGAGCATTTACTTAAGTTCTAACGCTGATAATCACTCAGGGTTAGAATGGCCTGAATAGCTTGGTGGATTCTCATCTAGCCTGCAAATGGATGCATCCCGTAATGACACTGAGCAGGCTCTCACTATGCAGAGTCTTTAGATACTGCTTTCTCTTATTTGCCTTATGAAATGTGGTGTTCCCTTTTGTATTCTCTCCTCTTTCTTCTCCCTTGCTCTCTCACCTATATGTTGTTAGATCAAAGACTGTGTAATTAGTTACATGTTTTTAGCCTGCTAATACTGAAATCCAAAGATACAAGAGCTGTCTGCCTCCAAAATGAAAGATTAGTGTACTATGTTAAGCAATTAAATGTGGGGTAAAGGAGTTGTAGAATGTGAAATCTGTGGTAAAATACTTCTTTAAAATGTTTAAACTGCAATCAAGAGGATTCTATGTTCTATTATGTTAATTAGTGTAAAACATATTTATTGCATTAAAAACAGCTCACATTATTTTTCTTGCCATACAGTGACTTACGAATTTTCAGGTACTTAGTTTACTGTACCATTTGTGTAATGCTCATTTGTTAACTCTTAACAGTTTCGGATTTCTGTATCTTATTTTTAAGGTGCTGCCCTCAGCAGGTGTGTTGTTTTCTGTTCCTGTGTGCAGATGAAAAAGTGTATGAATGCAGAGAGAGTGCAACTGTGCATTTTGCAAAAAGGGCATGTTTGCAAAGCAGGCTTCTGATGGAGAATCTTTAAGTGCCAGTTACATTCCATTTGACTCTGCTTCACACTGAATAGAGCTTTGTGCTGAATCATCTTTGGTGCCACTAGAGTGAAATAAATGTCATCCACGTTGGTTATCATATAGAAATAAAGTGGTGATTCATAGTGGCAATGGAGTACATCTTGAAAACTTAAACATTGCCTGGCGTCTTTTGAGACCTGATGACTGAGTCTCCTGAAAGGAATAATGGTTCCTAACCCAATCCTGACAGATGGCAAACAGATCCTGCGAGGTGCAGAACATTTGCCTTGCACTAAGTTTAGTAGGAGGTACGGATACTTGCATAACATACTTTGCGCATTGCAGGATTAGACCCCGAATGTTTTGTGAGCTGCCATGGGTTGCCTTGGAAATACTACACTTGCAGAGCTGAAGTCTGAACATGTACTTGAGGTTTGCTAGCTGTGATTGAGACTCTGAAATATAGAGTACATTTTTTTTCCCAATTTTCAGTTCTCTGTAGTTTCCCGTTGAAATAAGAATCCTCACCTATGAAAGCTTGAGGAGTTTGGCAACTCTGCGTGTATTTCTAAACAAAGAATTGTTAGACAGCAATTTTCTATTCCTTACAGAGTTAATGACTTGTGAGGAGCTGCATTCCATACTGCACTTGGTCCTTCAGGCTGGGAATATTATGAATGCGGTAAGTGACATCCAGAATGGAGACGGCTGATTGACCAGACTTCCTTGTTAGTATTGCAGTCCGCTTATTTCACACACCTCAACTGTTTGCTCGTTTCTTTTTAGGGAGGGTATGCTGGCAATGCTGTTGGATTTAAGCTGTCATCACTGCTCAAGCTGGCGGATACAAAAGCCAACAAACCTGGGATGAGTCTGCTGCATTTTGTTGCGCTGGTATATAAAAACTATTTTGTTGGTATAAGTAACTGATACAAATCTAGAGCCATAGATAATCACGAACAGAAGGAGCCACGAGTCTCCATAAAGGTGGCTTAAGACTTTGATTTTAATCTTTACTTTTCAACTCCTGCCACAAAATTCACTATTTTCCCTATGTCTGGCCATCCTATCCCTGGGAAATCCATAGCAAACTTGACTTGTTACTGTCATGTAGAATCTTACCTTTGTCTAACTTCATCACTGTAGTAGTTCTCGTACTGCCCTGAATTTTTATACTATAAATATGGCTTCTTTTGACAAATGCTCTTATTCTTCTTGCTGAATCATTTCAGCAGCACATTTCTCTGTTGTTGTTTGTTGTTTTTTTCTACTCCTGATGGACAACAATTACTTTTAAAGCTGCTGTGGCCTTTTTTTTAATTTGTTTTCAGCTATTTTTTTGTTTTTTCAAACTTCTTGATTTTAGAATTTAAATGTTTCCATATGTGACTTCGCTTAACTGTATACAAACTGATTTAAAAGATTTCTAGTCAGGTAACAATGGAGCATTAACTGATGTTTGTATCTGCTCAAACAGTCGGCATCAGTAAATTGTCCTTTCTCCAGCATTCCCTATCAGTATACGTGTCTTTTGTGTTCAGTGGTAGAAGCAGCTATTGGTGTGCATTGCAAAATGGAATTGTTGTTTGTTTCTAGTTCTGATCCCCGCCTTTCTTTAAAGAAGTATTTTCTGTTCAATCGTGTTAGGATTGAACTGGAAGAAAGAGCACGGGAGAGAAACCTTTAAGTACGCTCCCAGAGGCTTTAGAACTGGTGGACTTTGAGGTGTTTCTTTGTGGCAGTGGAATGTTAATAGCTTGTGTGTGTTTTGGCCTTGTTCTGTTTGTTTCAGGAAGCCCAGAAGAAAGATGCTGCTCTTCTCAACTTCTCAGAGAAAATTAGGGATGTTCATGAGGCTGCCAGGTAAGTCAAAAGAAACCTGAAAACTTATGGTTAAACTGTGACTTGGAACTCTGATTTGTGAAGCAATGAGGTTTATTCAAAAAAGTCTTGGCACAAAACCTGAGATCTTTACAAATGTTTACTGTAGCTTTGAGGGCTTCATTTCCATTTGCTAGCTGAAGTATGCCTGCAATGTGCCTTCAGGTATAAGGTTTTTTCTGACATGATCTCCGTAGGTGTTTTGCAGTTTTGTCTCTGTCAAATTATGTGTGCATGTATGCTGCTTTTAAGAGATCAGAATGATGCTTTTTTTTTTTTCCTTAAACCAATTTTCATCTGTCTCTGAGCAGTCTACAGCATTCTTGCAAATCTGGTTTCTGATACAGGTGCTGATGTTGGCTTCTTTTAGATGTTTAATATTTGGTTTGCTTCTCCATTTTGGTCTTGGGTGGAAAATCTGAAGGATTTGGGGCTCTGTATTTTCATATCATTGTCTCTAGCTGCATAATGGTAACCTAATTCATACCTAGATAACTGTACTTGCTTTTGTGAGATGTTGTGATCTAAAGCACAAAACTGAAAGCTAATGATCCTGGAGTTCTGTTCCCTGTTCACTACTTCCTTACTCCTTGACCTTTGGGCGGTCTATTTACATTGTTGTCTGAACTGTAAAATTGCTCCAATCTCTTACATCTGATGAAAAATTAAGTCATGTCTGCAAAGAACTCTGAAATCTTCTGAGGAAAGGAGTGGCTATGCAGTTAATCAGAAATTTTTTGATGGACCACCTGTGTGGCTCTCTGCCATCCAACCCACACACTTTCTTGGCAGTCTGCCCTATTGCCTGCTGAGGAATGTAGCTTCCCTCAGTATCCAAGCCCCCTGGCAAACTGCAGGGGTACAGACAGAATCTGAAAACTGGTGGTACTTTTCTAGCCATTTTGTTCTTTGATCCCATTTGTTAATGTTAAAAATGTTCTGTTGTAACTCATGATGAAATCTGTTCAGGGGATGCATTCTACAGGAAAATTAAATGAAACAAAATGCGTGTCTTACACTTGGGTGTGAGGAAGATCTCCCTTTATTAGAGAGACAACTGTCGTGTATAAGTTGCTCGTAAATCCTTCCAGTCAGACCATGTTAAAACAACCACCATTATGTATGTTTTTTTATCTTGCCTTCCTACCTTGTAGTCCTTTATCCTCCTTCTAAAGCAGAATCGTGTACGCCTTTTCTCATTTGCAAAAACGCATAAGATCTTCCTAGCACAGGGAGCTTACCTAAAGTAAGCAGAAAAAAACATCAGCATTCTATTTATTTATGCATGCTGTTACCACGCTCTCACCATGTGTGCTTCAGTTGGTCAGCTGCAAGTTTTCAGCTTCGCTGTTTTGAAGTGCTGCTGATTGAAAGTAGTTAGGAACACATGTGCAGTTGTTATTTTTTTTTTACCATTCTGGAAACAGTAATGCATCAGCTCCTAGACAAAGCTCAGTTACCTTGTGAAAGAAATGCCGTAGGTTTAGAAGTGTTGATCCTCAAAATGACTGAGGGATTTGGGTGGGAGTTCTCATCATAGGGAAAACAAGTCTCCCGGGATACTGCTCAGATTACATCAGATGAGAGCTCTTTCCTGTGGCCTTAGATTTGTTGAGTTACCTGTGCCCAAAAACAGGAGCTGACACTGTGGGCTGCATTGCCCATGTCTTTTAAGTCTGTCTTCTAAGTGACAACTTACAAGAAAGTAATGTGCAATTTCATGATGTTGCCAAAATGGGCAGTCCCGGTTGGCAGTGTGACTCCTTGTTGTGCTAGCTTTGGCATGGGAACGGTCATATAGTCAGATGGACTAAGGAAGTGACCCATCTGGAAGGAAACGTATTTATCCTTTTATCGGATTAATCTTCTGTGCTCAGATACAACTGCCATCTAGAAAATGAGTGAGTGCCCAGGGAGAGAAAAAAGAACGCTTGGCAGGGTGGCATTGCCCTTTCAGGCAGTACAGCTGGGTAGGACTGGCTGGAATTAATTGTGAAACCACACCCCATGGGAATCTTTTTAAGTTGCAAATAAGAAGAAATGTGCTTATCTCTCTCCTAACTTTCGATTTATACTTTAGAAAGATATTCTGAACAGGTAGGTCTTGTTTGATAGCGAGGTTGCACTTCATGTTGAGCGTCAATTTTGAAGCATATTGTGGCTAACCTAAGAGAACTCCTCCTCAATAAGCATTCTCTGTATATGCATTTTTAGGTTATCCATTGATAATGTAGAAGCCGAGCTCCACTCACTCTCTTTCAAGACAAGATCTGTGAAAGACAGCATTCGACGAGACCCAAAACTCTTTTACCAGATGGAAAACTTTCTGCAGGTTTGTAGGTTACCTGTGTTGGTGTATTACTGTCACCTGAATACAGGAGCATTCCTCAGCTCAAAGTAATTTGTGTGGACATGTCAATAAACAGAAGCATTGTTTTAATATGTCTACCATATCAGTGGTACAAAGGTGTTCCAACTACATGGTGTTTGTCAAGTAAGAGCGTTGGAAGGATTGTGTTTTTGCTGGGAGGGGTATGGAGTGTACATTGCCCAAGGCTCGTTGGGCAAGTGTGTTAAATGCCTGACAAAGATCAGTAGTTAAAATATAAGACAATTTGGGTTGGTCTCTACTTTTGTTCTTCACTTGCAGGTAACTATATTTTGGGCAGCTGTGATGTTATACTGGACCGTATGAGTTTTTACTGAGAATATTTAACTGAAGAGGGATTCTAAGAAGCTTGAATGCTAAAAGCCTGTTTTCTGTACTAATTTACCCACTGCACAGAGTGTATTATTCTAAGCCATACCATCACTGCTTGGTAGATTCTGCTTTTCTTTTTTAGTATCTCAGTGACTTCATAGACATGAATGTATATGGCACCTAACTTTGAAGCAAAGTTGTAGGTATTTTTCAAATATGTGGTGATACCTGGAGAAATATGCATTACACTTCAATTAAATGATTTTTGTTTCATGCGATAGAAAATTATTAAAAGTTTAAGAAAAGAAAAAAAAAAAATCAGATATTGATCTGGAACTTAACCCACCCTGATTCTCTACTTGGAAGTATAGTTAATAGTGTAGTTTTTCAGATGTGAAGGTGATGAAGAAAGGGGCGGGTTAAGATTGAAATAGCTGTCCTCATTCACTGTGAATCATTGGCTTTAATCCATTGCACCCAGACTCTTTAATGTTATGTTCTGACATGTTTGGCTTTTTTTTTTTTTTCATTTTTAATTTAATAGCTGGTTTTATGTAACACTACAACCTTGTTTAGGCCACATTCCAAAAAATGTTGTGAAAAAAAAAATCATTTTATAAATGCATACCTTACATAAAGACTTCCAGGCTTTTGTTTTTAAATTATAAGTCATATCCAAGCTGATTAAAAATCAGCTTTCATTATCTCATCCTCATGAATAAATTACTGAAATATGTGGGAGGAACTTTTTTTCTATGTATGCTCTTGTCAATTGTCCAATTTATCTTCAATCCTTTTTTTTTTTTTTCTCTAAATGCTAACCAGTCAGATTTGTTCCTACTCGACCAGCATAATTTGCCAAGTAACTTCCTGGCAGCAAGTTGTCTCAAGTGGTCACTCGTGCCTCCAGCTGCCTAGTCACAATCCAGTGCTGCAGCATGAAAAATCTTTAGGGGGTCGTGAATTAGTATCAAAAAACTGAGCTGTCTGGAAATTAACTTTCTCCACCAGGTTATTTTGAGTCAAATCTGTTCTCAGATGTGGTAATGTGCAAGGATGGCAGTGAATGGCTGGTGATGCAGACTGGGGAGACAAAAAAATTCAGTGGTTGTTCCTTTAAGCAGTTCTGCTGCTCAAAGTTCTGAACTCTTGCCAGTTTGTATCCTATTCACTAGAATTTGCATGTTGATTGATGCATTTTCCTTGATCTTCTTTCCTCATTTTGCTGAAATGGCAGGAAGCTTCCTTTGATTAGTAGAAGTTCTTCCTCAAAATCTTAATTTTCAGGCATCTGTAACAACTTCTGGGATGGAACACGAGCTCCTAACATACACATAAGCTCCTAATATACACCTCTACTGTTGTTACTTAAATTTTTCTGTCTGCCATTGTATGTTCTTTGCTACAGTTTGCTGTGAGACATCTAAAGGAGCTAGAACACCAGAAGCGAGAATTAGAAAAGGAAGGAAATGCTCTCATTGACTTTTTCTGTGAGGACAAAGAAACTATGAAGTTGGATGAATGTTTCCAGATATTTAGGGACTTCTGCTTAAGATTCAACAAGGCTGTTAAGGTAAGCACTGTTAAGCTTGCCATAAGGCTGTTGGACCCAGAATGAGATTCTCGCTCTTTTAAAATAAATACTAGTTCACATGAATTAATAGTTTTCTGTGTAAGGGATGCTTTGTATCTTGTGGCATTTGATCTATTTGTCAAAATGGTGACTGCAGTGGCTACTTTGGTCTTTTAAATGCTTTTTGTGAGTGAAAAGTCACAAAAGTGTCAGCATTGGTTACAGTTTTTGTTCAGAAAAGTCTGCCTATCGTTAGAAATAATTTTTAGGACTTTATAAATAGCACGAATTAGGTGGATCCACAGATTTGATTTTCTGCCTTATGTAATCTGCAGTTGACAGCAGTTTTCATAAAATCTTTGGTTTAGAAAGAGAGAAAAACATTCCTGATTAGTAAGTAGCAAGCTAACTGAAAGTTCAGCTAACACGCATGTTGTACCTTTAGCTTACCCTCTACCACCCAGAGTGTGGTTATACATGTGAAGAATATACAAGTATATTAAATGAAATGGTAGTAATTCTGGCAGACTTCTTAGTGAGAGGTGACTTCGTGCATATTACGAAGGACATGTTCAATCATTTGGAATTGAGGATTTAATTCATAATCACACATTTGCATACAAGTGGTCGGTGGATAGCTGTTACTTCAAAGCCCAGTGGGGATTGCTTTTCTTATCTATGTAGAAACTAGTCAGAAATGATAAATTACTCTCTTATTTGCAAATACTGAAAAAAATTTCTTGCTAAGTATTTTGTGAGGATTAACCTGAGACATTAATGGAATCATTCAGAATAAGGACTACAGTTCTGAGAAATGAATGTGACATGTGGACAGCAGAGCCAGCGGTCAAAAAAGATGGTTTATACCACGATGGCCAACTGTGTGTCTCACGTGTTAAAAAGACTTTTTGTTTTTGCAATTTTAGAACATGCTCATGAGTGCTTAAAATAGGTTTATCATTTGAATAAAACCTCCATAAACATATTCTGGGTGAGGCTAAAATGTTCTGTGTCTAACGTAGAACATGAACATAGTATCTGCAATAATTTTTAACTATTTTGCTTTACAATAGGATATTTGAAGTTAAGCCGTAACGTTAGTCAAGAGTTAATCCTGTAATCCCATACCTGTGAAAGAAGGCTCCCTGCCACATTTTTCCTGAAATGCAAGTTTTTTCTTTATCCTTTCTTAACTGTTGAGGTTTCTGAGGTCTCTAACACATCTTATCTTTCACAGCCCTGTGTCATCTCAAATTCCCCTTAAGAGGTATAGATTAACCCATTCATCAAAAAGAGCTTCAGCATTAGACTTTTGTTTACTGGAAGCTTTCAGGCAGCTATTTATAGTTGTTCAGTTCTTTTGTTGTCACAACAATGGGAAAATCAAACTAAACAGTGCTTCAGATCAATATAGGTGTGTGGGTTTTTTTCTAAACAGCCATGTAGGCTTTCTAAGAATAAAATTAACATGCTGGAAAACTGTAATTTTTAAATCCTTTATGAAAGCTAGGCCATCCTCTTCTTTTGCTGCAGCTTTACTGGCTGAAGAAAACCAGGTTCTTAATTTCTGTTGAACTTTTCAGGTTATTTCCTTAAGTTTAACTTCGATTAAATCTGAAGCCTAGAGGTGTCATGTTGTTGTTCATAGTAAATCACTGCTAATAATTATAGCAGAAAGGTGTTACTATGTTGTCTTTCAAACACAAACTCTTTCTGTGTCTTTCTAAGCCTCAGCCCCTCAGCCTAGCTTCCAAAATCTCTAGCCTGCCTGGGGCAACTTCTGTGCTCTAGTTGTCAATTTTTGAAGCCAACAGCGAACAAGAGATCCAAAACCAGAATGAGGTGTTTATTAAGTGGCATCAATTGATGTCTATGTAATGATCATGAGACATTGAGCAAGCTTTTTCATTTGCTTTTGTATGCAAGTCATGTCTTTTCATAAAGTTTCTAATCTGTTATGTTCAAGTTGGGGGTAAAAAGCAACCCTTGGAAACTCCACTTGCTCCTTCAATAACAGTTGTTATAGTATGGGAGGATGGAAAGAACACAGTGACTACATGCTTGCCAGACAAGTTTGTTTTAAAATAAGAATATAATGCTTAGCTGGAAGTTTAGTTAACAGATAAAACTGCTCTCTAAACCTACTGAGCATGGACTTGAACATCTCCGTACACAGCAACAATTTTTTGCTAGAACATAAAAGCTAGTTGGGTTTGATAGATCACATTTTCAGGGTCTGTGGAACCTTGTGCATTTTTTTCTTATGTTAATTGGACTGATATGCCTCCAGCATTAGCTATGCAGGGAACTGCAGTCCATATGGTTAATGATTGCAGACTGGTTGTCATGGTGAATTTTTGTGTGTATGTATTGGGGGTGGAGAGAGAGTGATAGCAGTAGGAACTAACTTTGATAGGAGGAAGTAAAGGGAAAGATAAAGCCGTGTAACTTGTTCTCATGCATAGAATGCTGTCCTCTGTAACATAGATTTATGCATGTCCTTGTTAGGAAAACAGGGAACGAGAGATCCAGGAACTTCATCATCTGCAAAGGCGAAAGGAGCTGGAGGAGAAACGTCGATCCTGGGCTGCTGGAGAGCTTGGAAGCTTTGGACGAAGCAGTAGTGAAAATGATGTGGAAATGTTGGCCAAAAAAGGACTCGAAGAGTTTCTTCCCTTCTTGCAGCAGAGACCTCAAAGTCCTTCATACAGAAACCCCAATTCCAAACGCTCTCGACTTTCTCTGGGGATTACTGCAGACAGAGAGCTGCAGAGTTTCCTGGAAATTTCAAAAGAAGAGGATCCCAATAAATTTAACAGCCTTCCCCGTGCAAACACCCGACAAGTAAGACCCAATGTAGCCTGGACTGAATCCAAAGAAACTAGAGATCCCAATTTAAATACCTTGCACTTACACCAACAGTCTGAAACCAAAGGGAAAAATAGTGATCTGCTGCAGTTGCATCCAGCACAGTCCAATCACTTTGGTGATTCAACCACCAATGTCCATTATCCACAGCGAAGCACCAACTGCAACATGCATGCTTCCAATGCCTCTTGTGAGGAGTCTGCTGATATAAATGCTCTGGCCCTTGCAATTGAGGAGCACGAACTTGTTAAAGGATTAAGGAAGTTTGATATTCAAGGAGCAAAGCCAGCAGAGGATACGCCTCTAATATATTTAGAGGATGTCGGTGGAACAGATGTGGAGACTCTAGATGATCTAAGCTTGCATTCCCTTAGCACTGCTGATGACGATCTGCCTCCACCTTGCAGAAGCTCCAGAGAGGCCCACAACCATAAAGGCAAGGCAGTGGGTTGCAAGAGTGAAACTTCAGAGCCTGGCAGCAGCAGCCCTGTGTCAATGGACACAAGTGTTTCGGGAAGTAGGGAAGATGGGCCAATGTTCTATGTGTCAGATACTACCACTGACTGTTCTTTGACACTGGACTCTGAAGAGGGGAATGATTTTAAATCAGCAGGCAATGAAGTAAGAAGTGAGACTGGCAAAACACGCTCTTCTGTGAATGGTGCTCAGTACAGGCCTAGAACACTCTTCCCAAACCTAAATTCAGCTTCTGCCAAGGATCTGTCTCTTCATGCTTCCACAAATGATAAGGATGATGCCAACAGCAAACACACGCTTTCTAAAGAAAAATCTGTAAAAAACAAAGACCCTGTAGGACCAAAGAGAAACTCTCTGAAAGACAGATCTCCAAGTTCCTCAAAATCCAGTGGCACTCGCCCTAGCCACACAACTTCTTCCAGACCTGTTAGAACTTTGAATGCCTCTGAGAATGAAAGTATGAGGAAAGTGGTGCCTATTTCTCGGTCAAACAAAGCACCAAGCAGTGTGAAAAAGCCAGAAGCCAAGCCAGTGCTTCGTGAGACTAGTACAGTGGAAAGCCGCCTGTCTCGTCGCAGCTCTGTCCGAGGCACTACAGACACACTGCCAAGAAGTCCTTACAGGCATAGCATGTCAGTAGAAGAGCCAAAGTTACAGAGGGGGACTGTCACCTCAAGCAGTGCTCATTTTGAGAGAGACAGAGTTGCTCTCAAGAAGCCAGGCTCTAAACCTGTTAGGAGTACTGCAAAGTCGAAGACGGATGAGACAAAAATGTGTCGCTCCAGCGTAAAACCCCAGACCCCTGTAGATGACACCAAAGTTAGCCCTGTCAGTGCTCCCAAAACGCCATCCAGTGTCCCCAGCTTTGCAAGGAATACAGTGGCTTCTTCTTCAAAGCGTGCAAAAGTGGATCTCTCCACCTCGTCCAAACCTCCAAGCATCACCAGATCTGTGTCTCAGAGGCTGCCTAAAGTGAAGCCAGCAGCAACCTCTGATGATCTGAGTCCAAAGGAGAATGGAGGGAGTACTTTAAAGAGAGCGAATAGTGCCAGAGTGTTTGGAAAAAGCATCCCCCAGGGAGACACTGTCAGCACAAAAGCAGAGACTTCACCAAAGGAGCAGGGGGCTGTGGAAAAGTCCTCTCTTAAACTGAAAGATGCAAACCGGACCACAATAGGTAAAATACTAAAGCCGTTACTGAAGTAAGGAGAGGTTTTTTAAATTTTGGAATGTCTCTTGCACTGGATGTCTCTGTTGAGGAATTCCTTAAAGCAGTAACATTGCTGATAAGTGGCATCACGTGCTCTTCAACGTACCGCACACCACTGGAAAAGGGCAACTGGTTGTGTTCTGGTCTAAATCCTCTGTTAAGAATTTGAATGTGTTTGAAGATACTGTGATGGAATAAGAGTGTAGCAGCAAGTGTTTGAGCATTTGTGATATGGAAGGTCACCAAAAGCCAAAAAGTTTAAAGAAGTTAAGCTATGGGATGAATTCCTTTGTGACAGAAAACATGGATAAAGGCCAGTTTTTGTGTGCATGAAATTCTTCCTGGGGCTCAAGCATTTGTGTTGGTTGGTTTCTTATTCAACGTCGGAGAGAATCCTGTGGAACAGTACTGAAAATGAATGTAGGTGATTGTGCTTTACATTGTTTCTACTGCCTTGGATTCAGGAACTCTTTTTTGCCTGTTGCAAAGTCCATTGCTGGCAATTGGACAGGCTGGGAACTGCTGGCCAAAAAATAGTAAAACGGGATTATTTGCTGTTTGTGGCTGTCTTTAACCTAACTGAAGAATTTTTAGCATGTTTTATGAATGTGTACGTGTGTCTGGAGAAAACTTTCTGCTGGCCAGGAAGCTTATTCTCCAGGAATGTGGCAGCATTGTCTTGCATGCACAAGTAGATAGGGCTGGTGCTTCACGGCTGGAGGCCGTGCCCATTGGAAGGGCCACCAGTAACCACTGGGATGATGACTACTCCTCATCTGACTTGTTCCAGTCACAAGCAAACTTGCCAGCGTTTGGTCATACAGAAGTGCCATATATTTATGATACATATCAAGGATGTTTGCAGTTCAGCTCTTGAAGGCTGCATTGTAGTGCTGAGCACTTTCTTACTATTCCATGTTTCCACTGGTTTATGTACTACCAAATTACTTGAATGTTGCAATGGCTCTGATTGAGCCATCGGTTTCCCTGCCCCCTCCTCTCCTTGTCAACATGAATATTTAGCATGAAACACGGATCTTACGCATGACAATGTTTTTGTAGACTTCCTTTGTTACTTCAAATGTGGTTTTTAATGTTTAAATGCTCCAAAGGATGACTTAAACTAGTATTTGATAAGCTTTTTACAAATAAAAACACCTCCTTTTTCCTGCGGATACAAATTTTCATGTCTTGCTGGTCTAAGGTACGGAGAATGAGGGAGAACTTGTTCAGCATGCTATGCATATTCCTAAGGGAAATGTTTGTAGGTGGGGAAGCTGATCACTGTTCTCCTGAGCATCCTATTTAAAGAGTTGCCTTTCCAGTCACTCACAAATGAAGCCTCATTTAATAATAAAAACAAGAGTAAAATAAAAAGGAAAACTCTTCAGACAAGTGGCATTGACTTAGGGTAGATCTGCTTCTCCACTCTATCCCTCAGTGCTGGAAGTGTATAGCTCAGTGAGAATGAGCCGTTTAATTACTCACGTGCATCTCAAGGGCTAGTATCGGGGACAGCTACCTTTGTCTTTTGAAGTTGGCAAGGGGCCCTTAGTGTTTCATGATGTCTTACTGCAGACATTGTACCCAAACACAAAGTATTACATAGGGCCTCTTGTTTGAGTCTGTCCCACGGGGAGAATTTATATAGCCCACTTTTTGGCAAGGGTGAATTTTTGCTCGAAACCCTGCATAAGCTTTTTGAATGCTGCCTCCCTTGTGGGTTACATGAAAGAAAAGCATCTCCCTTCTCCTTATTTCTATCTGTGTGTATGTATGCACATCTGCGAGAGCAGATGATTGACTCTTCTCCTTTATTAAGAAAAAAAAAAAAAAGCAACCAAACTTTTATTGGTAGCAAGCTTGAAAAATAATTTAAATGTGTTTTGGTATATGTAAATTTCTATAAATCTGTGTAAAAGAAAACTGAATGTATTTAATGGAACATTTATACATTTCGGAGTAACTCAGTAGTTTAATAAAGTTCCCATTTACTGGGTATAGGCTTGCATTCTTCTCCTTCTTGTTGTACTTTGGGCTTTGGTCCTGGAGATCCCCAACAACTGGAGACCGGTTGTAGGTACCTGTGGGAAAATCCCCAAAGAAAAGGTTTTGCAGCAGAAATTCTGGCATTTGAAATAGGAGGCTTGTTTTTGTACTTAGATGTGTATTTCATCTTTAGTTTCTGAATGTTCCTGAGGCAGGGCTTTCTGCACAGGCCCGGGTAGAACATGAAAGGTATTAGGTGGTGGATGCAGCGCCTCATGTATGCGTTGTGTGCTGTGGCCAAAACGAATGTTCGTGGCAGTAACAAGTCTGGATCTGTCACTATCTTCATGCCTTTTAGCTTAGCACACTTTATTGGGAAATCCCAGTTTACAGCTCCCAGGGCTTTGCAAATAAAGAACAGCCTGTTTTGCAGGAGCAGGTGGTGATTTCTGCACTGTAATTCTGAAGTTTTACCTTCCATCCCATTCTCCTGTGATTTTTATTCCTGCTTTATTGCATAAGAAAAAAAAAAAAAAAGAGAGAGAAGAAAGGCAGCCAGCCTCCTTGTCCTCAGGGAGTACTTCCTCCCCTCTGCTATGGGAATGGTTTTTGGACTGGAATTGCTGCTATTTGCAAACTCGTTCAGCCCCTGACTTTTCTCGTTGGGTGAGTGCGGCTCTCCCGCACGGAGCAGCACGCACCTGCTGTCTGCCAGCACTGAGTGACGGCTGCTGATGGAATCTACGTGGGAAAGCCCTTCACCATCAAAAGGTGTGTCTCAAAAGTTGGTTTTTCCCTTTTTAAACTTCATTTTTATTTCAAAAGGGTTTATGATTACCAATTCATTATTTAAACTACCAGCTGTCAGAAGCAGCAGTGCCCTGTAGGTTTAATTTCCCATGTCTTGAGATTTTCCCAAACGCTAACAGGCTGTGGGGCTGCAGGCGGGTTTGAAGAAAGACACGAGAGCTTTTTTTGGGCTTTGTTGTGCCGAGCAGTGGGTGCTTGTCATCATCATCAGAGGCGAGTCCGTCTCCTTTGATGGATCTCAGGGTGATGGTGAAGTCGGGGAGCCCGGGGAGACATGAGGGCATCTGGGGCTGTGGAGCTGCTGCAGATTGCGAGATAGGGGAGCGAGCTGTGGGAGGAGAGATGCTGATTCATACTTGGAGGAATTTAATATTCACATCTCATGTGGGAACTGCATACAAATGAGGGGCTCACTGTATCCCTCGTTACAACAGCTCATTAAATTATCAGGAGAGACGGAAAGATTTCCCATCACGCCTCCCACAGCGTACAAGTCCGGACTATGTCATTCAAAATAACCCACTGGTATCTCTCTCATCTTAGGCTCTGGCTGTGTGGATGGATGCGGAGTACTGCCCGTTGGCTCTGACCTAGCCAGGCACAAGTGAGCTCTGGATTGGGAGTGAATCACAGCACGTGCTGGCTGGCCACTGACCCCGAGTTGTCCTGTCCTGGCTGGAACTGCATCCCCACGTGCTGGGGAGAGCTGTCCTCCAGAAGGCGTCTTTGTTGCTGCTGTGAGAATGCAATCCCGGCGAGAGGGGCCCAGCTAAATGCAGCTCCTTTCAAATTTGGCCACTCAGTGTTTTCCATTAGCTTGATACATGCTGTTTACATCCTACTGCTGCCGGTGCCAGAGATAACTGCCTTGGGAACAGCTCCCTGCAGGTATTGTTAGCAGCTGCTGGAAACAAAGGCGTTTGTTTTAGCCACGTCACTATCTAAACAGCCAGAAATAGATTGCTTTTTTTATTGCTGGTAAGCCAATAAAAATCGGTCTTGTTCTCCTGGCCAAAAGATGCCTTCTGGAAATCTTGCGTGCTGAGAGGGCTGGCATCTGTGCAAACAGCCCAGCAACAGCAAAGAGCATGATGCTGAGGCAAAGAATGCGTGAAGGACTCTCGTGGCAACCAAGCATTTCTCCTCCACGTGTCATCACCACCAGCATCCACTGCTTGCACTTGGACAGAATTGCTTCCAGCCAACACCATGTGGTTCCTTGCCGCATAGTTGGCTTCTGTCTCTTTCTAGGCTGAAAGCTGAGACTGCAGAACACTCACCATCTCAGCTAGGAACTTAACTCTGATTTTAAAAACAAATAAAAAAATCCGTCCATCTGCTGATGTCCTTCCTTTCTGCACTGAGTCACGGGGAGCGTGGAGGCCATGCTATTATACTGATTCCAGAGATGGTGATCAGGTTTGTAGCTGTTGAGCAAGTGCTTGGTTGGTGGCCTAGTCTGGAGGGAGGGGAGAGATTGGGGCACTACAGAGAACATTTGTCCTATCTGAAGCAGGGATGCCGGACAGGCTGTCTTTGAACCGTGATGCGTCTCCTGCTTTTGATCATGTCTCAACAATAGCCCCTTCTTTTCCCTGTTCCATCCTTATTTCTTTGGGAGGATGAAGGATTACAGGCTTTGATGCCTCCTCCAAGCAGAGGAGAGAGATGAACTCTACCTCCGTTTTTTTATTATTTTTTTTAATTTTTAACAATAGAACTTTGACCAGCGAGCAGAGCTGGTAGCTTCAAATAACTCTCAGCTGCGCAGGGGCCCTAGAGCTCCAGGGAAAAAATGAATGGATTGCCTGTGTGCACTTTGACTAGTTTCTTCCAAAAAAGTAAACGTTTCCATCTTTTTGGTGGTCTAGAACAAGTTCAGGAAGGAATTGAATATATTTCTAAAATGGACACGTGCATGAGTAGTAGTTCTGAATTACTGTCTGGTAACTGGCGTGCTGCCTGTAGAAATGAGGGAAACGTGTAAGAGGGAAAACATGATGATTACAAATGAGCAGGCAGAGCTGAGACAAGTTTTCAAGAAGAATGTGGAGCTTTTCTCTGTATCATTACCATCCTGACGCTTCCCTGGGCGTTGGCTGTTCCTGGCTGACCCAGCTACGGGCTGGAGCACGGCCCCCTGGAGAAGCCAGGGGTCCCCAGCACCTGGCCTTGCTCCATCACTGCAGAGAACACTCCAGTAAGCACCGCTGGAGCCACTTCAGCTCTCGTGCTGAGCAAGGACATGCTGCGAGCTCCACGTTTTTGTTCCCAGTCTTTCTCATGCAACATTTAAACTATCAAACCTATTCCCTGTGCGAATCTTCAATTTCCCGTTTCAGGATGAAGGATGATTGTAAATGTGGTTTTGATTTTTTTTTTTCCCCCCACCCTTTTACAGCTGTATTTGCCCCTTTACATCCCATGACTGTTTCCTCCCACTCCTATTTCCTCTGTTACAGTTTTCCATCCTGCTCTATTAAATTTTCCGGCTTCTACTAATAACTCATCTCCCCTCTTTATCTCCCTCTCACACTCCGGTGTTTCTGTACTCTTCAGCTCACTCATTCCACTCTTTCTTTGTCTCTGCAGTCTTTGGTGGCTGTTCTGCTCCTTTGATTTTTTTTTTTTCTCCCTTTCTGCTGTGGGTCACCTTTCTCCAAACAACTGTCTGCAAAGCCTGCAAGCTGACACTTTTCCTGCTGCTTCCAGTAAGAGGTGGGAATAGGGCAACAGAAAGTGACTCTTTTTCACATTTACGAGTCTGTATTTTGTAGCTCTGTTTTGTCCTTGACAGCAAATTGCTGGAGGTTGCTGTCCCCAAGCAGAGAGATCACCTCAAATCATCTTACAGAAACATAAAGGTTGGAAAAGGCCTCCAAGGTCACCCAGTCCAACCATCAACCCACCCCCACCATGCCCACTAACCACATCCATCACTGCCACATCCACATGATTCTGGAACGCCACCAGTGACGGTGATTCCTTCACCTCCTGGGCAGTTCATGCCAGTGCTTGCCACTCTGTGAAGAAGTTTTTCCTAACATCCAACTTAATTCCTAACACCCAATATCTCATCTTTTCTGTGCTAATGCTGCACCCCACCATACTGAGCAGCTCATGGGGGCATGGGCAAATTTTGCAGAGGTGGCTGAGGAAATTCTGCCCAACTAAAAGTGGGTAATTTAGCTCCGTGGTTCCAGTCTGTAAAGCCCTAACTGAAAGGACATCAGCAGCTCAGCTCAGGGATGCCTCACCCACCTGTGATCTTGGTGCCACAAACAAAAGGTTTGTGCAGCCAGTTGAGTGCTGTTTCCCTGCGCATCCAAGCAAAATAATTGCATCATATCTCAGCCTAGCATGTAGGTGTTCATGGTACAGGCTGAGGCTGCAGCAGCTTTGTTTTTCTCTTATATGGTGAGGACCAAGACCTCTTTATAAGAGCAGATTGCTCTCAGAAGCCCAGAGATGGCTCTTGGAGAATATGTGTTCAGTTATCCTTCTGGTGTAAGTGACTAATCGCTGCACTAAACAGAGAGCACTCAGTGTGTGCACAGTGTAGTTGGAGAGCACAGGCACTGCTGTTTGCTCTGAGCTCTTTTTACTTGTATATGCTGTGTGCCTGCCCAGTATAGCTCACCCCAGGGCAGGCTTTGAGGGCAGTGCCCCCAACGACCCACAGAGAACTGGGGAAGGAAGCAGCTGTGCCCCTGCCCCAGGGAAGCATTCGCTACAGCTGGCAGGTGTTTGCTTACCCTGCTCTTACAGGGCTTACCAATAATAATAAATTACAGTCAATGTTCCCCACAATTTTCTTGTGGTACTCCAGGATGGGATGTCTGTTTATAAGGATAAGGTAAAGCAGCTCATATCCTGACAAATGTGTATTTCAGTTGCGTATCTTTCCTTGCAACATGGCTTTGATAATGAACTCAGTATATCCACCCTTAGAACCACCAAGTTTATCCTAAATAATTCAAATGTTTAAGCATAAGTGCATAAAGCAGCAGCTAACTGGTAACCCTAGAAATCTATCTAATATCTTTTCACTGCACGAAAAACTGTCTGTGCTCTTCAGAAGGACTTGATGCGATCTGTTGCCAGAGATTTGTCACTTGGTAGATGGAGTGTGGGATGCAACATAGCAGCTCCTGCTGGTGCCTTTGTCACTGCTTCAAGGTGTGAGACCACTCATGCAGCAAGGGGAGGGAGCGGGATCAGAGCTCAGGATGGTCCTCAGGTGAAACAAAGCATCATGGAGATGGCCGCAGTGAGCAGATCAGTGCTCAAACAAGGCCACCAGGTTCATGCCCGCACCCAGAGACCAGGGCTCTGGTGTCCCCAGCCCACATGCAGTGATATCCAAAAGAGCATGGGATGTGCAGAAGTAACCCATCACAGACAGGCACGTGGGAGTGCAGCAAGAGATGTTCTGTAATCGTAAAAGCAACCAATGGTATTGTAAAGACTGCAAAGCAGAGACTGGTGAGAATGTATAACTCCAACATTCAGCATGAATTGGCAAAGCGGGCATGTGAGTAATCACAGAGGGCCATTGTGCGCCTGAGTCCAAACTCTTGTTTGATGAAATTACTTCTCTGAATAAATCTCACTTAACCTACAGTAAATACCTCTGAATAAAATGTCCAGCCTTAATATACAACATTTTAAATGACAGAGAATTTATCCCAACCTTTGGCAAATAGTTCAAACAGATTATCAAGCTTTCTGTTTAGAACCGTCTTAGTGTTTCTAGCACAAATTAATCGGGGTGGAGTGTCTAATTGCTGGTAACTGAATCTGTTATGGCTCTGTCTGCCAAGCTGGCATCTCCTGTTACCAGATTCCTGCTTCTTAAAGGCAGCCCTTGCAGGGAGAGAGCCGTGATTCTGCAGTGGGACTAGTGCTAGAACTGGGGAGGCTGCCCCAAGCCTCTGCCTGCGCTGGCTTTGCTCTCAGTTTGATATGGTGGCTCTGGGCTGTGGAGGAGGTCTGGATGCTAGCTGAAGGGCTGCTACTGTCCTCATGGCCTGGGATGACCCAAATCTGCTCCTACAACTTGTTGGACAGGAGCTTGCTGGGACATAGGGAAGCTCAATAGGGTTGGTCTGGATTTTATTGCTGTGGTTTCCCAGGCCACTCTTAGGGACCAGCATTTTCTCTGTCAGAATGAAAGCATGCCTGACAGAGGGAGTTGTTTCAGAGCTAAACAATGTCTGTGTTTAAACATTTGTTTTTAATTAGGCATCTGCTCTATGGCCAATAATGAAGCCTGAAACCACTGGGCATCACCAGAGCCATCCTTTGTCAAAGCCACCATACTTGCTGCTCCTCACTCTCTGGCAGGAGGTGTTCACACAGACAGGCTCCGTCTGGTAACCCCTTTATTGCCTCCTTCAGCCATACTGCAGCTCTCCTCCCTTCTCCTGCTGACCCTTAAGCTATTTTCAGTAAACCTCTTTCTTTTCCCAGTGGGGGCATTCTGTAATTAAGGAGGCAGTGATAACATCTAGTGATTATGTACTGATGTCTTTTAAAAAGGGATCTCTGAACCTGTCCCCTATTCTCCCCTCCTTGCCTTAAGCAGAGCTTAGTGTGGAACCTGGAGCTATGCTGATGTGAGTACTGATTAGATAGCTCTTCTCAGTTCAACTTGTTTGTCCATACTGACCATTTCCTATGTGTTAAGGCCTCTTAGAAAGAGGATACTTTCCCACCCAGCCTTCTTCCATTTTTGAGCACATGTCCTCACTCGCTGCATTGGGTGCCCCAGAAAGGAGAGACAACTCAATCAAGCACTATGCCTTTGCCGTGGTGCCTGCGGGGAGCTGTCACATAGATGGCCTCATCCCAGGTCTCCTTTATTGATGTTGTTACACAGTCCTGTGCTATGGCAACTGGAGAAGGAGGGAGGAAGGCCCCAAGATGTCTGCCTGGTGTGGGGGTGTTGATCCAGCATGAGTGAGTCACAGGGCTGTGCTTCACCTCGGCCACCTCCGGCAGCTCTGCCATGAGTCACCACAGCCTGAGAAGCCTTGCAGCACTTCCTGCGCCACGGGGAGGAGGGCATTGGGTGACACCACCACCTGCCACTGGGATGGAGTCATGTAGAGCTCTGCTTTGGGAGCGGGAGCTCCCAGGAAAGGCTCTCTCACGTGCAGCTGGGCACATGTTTTGGTGTTATGGGACCTACAGGACAAAGACGCTTCCCACAGGGAGCAAGGAAGGGTAGCAAGGTGCATATGCATCACTCTGTCACAGCAAAACCTGCAAGACGAGGAGGGGGGATGCAGCAGAAGGTTCATGGAGGAGTTGGTTTTAAGA